GCGTAATTTAGCAAGGTTTAATAAGGCTTTATTTTCCCAGTAGGGTTCTTCCGACATACATGTAAGCTAACTCCTCTTGGTATTGACATCATGACAAAGAGTGGGTTGGAACAGTCCTTAACAGAATCTGGATTATGCCAGCCAGCTCGGTCTGCCCACACCCACAAAAGTGCAGCACAGTACTTTCATTATGCTTTGCCTCAGCATGGCTCTGTTGTTAGACAGGACAATCAGTGTTTTGTTGCTCGGTTCCTACCATCCAACCCGAACCAGCCGTCTGTTAGTTCCTGAATTTACCATTTGTTTGGTTGAGATGTGGCTATGTGGCATGTGATGTTTTTTTTCTTAAGCCTCAAATTCTTCTCTGCATCAAATCTGTTGAATAAAAGGAGTCGACGGCAAGAGATCATTGTTTTCTCTAAAATCCAGTATGTTTTTCGAAAGGATTGCTTGACAGGGTGAAATGTAAGACTGAGGACATTTGACAGATCCAGTTTACAGACTCTGATTAATATTTCAAGTGGCACTAAGCTTTGACAGCTCAGAATCAAAAGAGGTGAAGTTTTTGTGAGTTGGACTGGACTTTTAACCAAAGCTGTCTTTTTGCTCATTTTCCATGTGTCTTGTAAAAGAATATACCCTCTACGTGTAAACATATCCGTTTTTTGCATGTTGTTGAAAATAGAGTTTCTTGTAGTTTTAGTAACAACATCTCCAATGATCAGGTACCATAATTGAAAATCTATCAGATATCTGAGCTTTGGACTAACCAGAGCCAATCACACTGAAAAAAAAACATTCAATTCCTCTCAACAAGCATAAATGATACCATCTTTTATCGAATATTCCCCATACTTTCATAATATCCTTTTTATCATATATTGCAACAAAAAAATGGATAAGAGTGTAATGCACCGGAATCGGACCCAAGATTCAACCACGACAGGGCAGTGACGCTTTATAAGCTTTATTGAAAAGATAAGGGGAAGCGCTAACGTGCAGGGCATGCTGCTTGCGGTCGTCCTGGAACCCCTGGAGGCAGAGACACAGGTTAGTGACCAGCAGAGGCAGGTATAATGATTGCTGAGGAGCTCGGTAACTAACCAGACTGAGGAGAACCAGGGCACGAGTGCGGGTTTGAGACGGAGAAGCGAGTACAGGGCTGAGGTCCACTCGCAGGCAGAGTTAAAGGAATAGTACACCCAAAACATGATTAGCCTTCATTTTCTACTCACCCGCATGCTGAACAACACTCTGGAGTAATTTTTTGATATCTCAAATGCATCTGGAGATCTGGGAGGCTTCTTGCTGTCTGCTGACATTCAAATAATGGAGGTCTATGGTGCCCGAGACAGAAAGGTCCATAAAAGTCCACAAAAAACGTGTCAATATTCCTCCATACTGCTCGTCCAATGTATTCCAAGTGTCCTGAGTGGGTAGCATCCAGAATTTACTCGAAACGAAGTCATTTAGAATGTTTTTAGAGCATAAACAGTAGTGTATAGGATTTCCTGAAAGCGCGCACCTGCGCGATCACGACGCTACGGAAGCCGGCAGACCAAACCAGATGAAAGTGCGCATTCAGCGTCTGCTCTTCCAATAATGCAAGTGTAGAAGAAGAAATGTGCCGTTTACCTGTGCAAAGAAAGAAACAACGAAAGAAAAATGTCTGAGGACTTCAGTGTTGAGGAAGAACATGAGTTCTTTGCCGAGCTGAATGGAACTGAGCAGGTGTGCAGAGTGGACAGTTAGACCAGTACCAGTGCCGCGATCATTTCAAAAACAATATAGAAAAAATACAAAAAAAACAAACTTAGAATCAAACAAACTGTAAATAAGGAGGCTTTAGTTTGGTTTTACTCACTGATCTACATCCGACATTTTTAAAGCATCATTGTTGTCTTTTGACATCAAGCAAGCAAGGTTGTTGTTGGTTTTTTTCACCATTAGCTAAGCTGTAGTCTCTAAAGCTGGAGTCGGCAAACTTTAAAATCTGATTAAAAAAAAGTTCTTCTAAAAGAGTAAATCTCCCTGTGAACATTACAAAACATTATGAAGATTGTTTTGAATAAAAGATCCAGCTTTCAGATATTTTTCTTTTTATAAAAACAAAAACAAAATTATGTTTATGGAAAAACATGTCAGAAAGAACATATTGTGCAATTTACAGATAAAAAGAAAAAATAAACTTCCTTGCATTAGTTTCATCCTGTTTTTATTGAAGATATCCATAAAAACACAAAGAAAAGCTGCTCCATGTTTTATTTGTAAATACTTTGATGTGTAAAACGTTGCTCGTTATCATCTCAAAGCTTTTAGCCCACCAAGGGGGGTTAATTGAAAGTCCATTTTTCCATTTCAAACCCCCGTTCCGCACTCTATTTGGTATTTTTCAATTTTTTTTTCTTAGACAAAGTATTTCAGGTTTGATCCTATCAGCTATAAGTTATTTATTAGAAAGTGTTCTTTGTTCACCAAAAAGGTTCATTCGGATGTTTTCTTTGTTCCTCTCTGGTGGCCTACAAGGATCCTGGTTTAAAGTAAACCATATCATCTTTCATTTTAAGCATACTGTTTATGCAACCATGCGTTCGTCTGACTGTAAATGTTCTGCTGTGTAAACATGGATCCAGCAGCGGAGGGATTCATGGAGCAATGCTTCCTATCTAGACATCTTCTGAGGATTTATCTGATAAAACATAGTTATAGGGGAAAAGAGGGAAATCTGTTAAAAATGATTTATAATGAAGTTGTTAAACAAATATTTGGACAATATTATTTTAAATAATTGTTCAGGTAAAACCCTTCCAGTTGCTAACCTCTGACCCTTATCCTCTTATCTGTTCCCGTTATGTGTTAGTTGTTAGTTTTTACATGTCTTCTCTGCCTGCTCATCCTCTGTCTGATTCGCTAAGCAAATAGGTCCATGAGTTTATTTAGCAGGAACACCATCAGGACAGAGAAACATGCTGCACAGGAGGAGGAAACTCTAAATTAGACAGACATGAGAAACGCCGGTTAGCTCCTGTAGCTGTACAGCTCATTTTGATTATATGCTGTTTGTATTGCGTTTTGCTCAGAAACTTTAATTCTAAAATTTAAGATTGAAGACTGAAAGACTCCACAGTGTACCTGAACTCTGTCTTATTTTAATTGATTGCTTGTTGGTTTGTTATTAGGCTCTTATTTGCTGTATGTGAGTTAGCATGTCCTGGCCTGGTTAAAACACAGGTTCATTTTTCTACTAAGTAAGTAGGTAAAGATTTATTTCAAAAGCACATTTCAGCAGCATGCCGATTCAAAGGGCTTTGCATTATAGGTACATCAGAACAAATGTGCAGTACAATCATTAAAAGCATAAATTAATGATTGAAACTAGGGCTGTAACTAACGATCATTTTGCTAATTGATTAATCTTTTGATTATTTGATTAATCAATTTGTAATAATAACAATATTTAAGCCAGGCGAAACTAAAACTTTTGGATTGAGTTCTATTAAGCATGTTGATGGACAAAAAAGTTTTTCATCTTCAATGCATTGCATCAGCTCTAATAAAACATTAGAATTATCCCACAAAATCATAAAAACTATCAACCAGATCACATTCACAGCAAGGTTGTCAATGTCTTATTCAGTTCAGTTCATTATATTTCTATAGCGCCAATTCACAACACGTCATCTCAAGGCACTTTACAGTTCAGATCATACAGTCAAATAGATTCAAAGTTTCCTATATAAGGAAAACCAGTTGATTGGATCGACTCAATGACTCAAATAAAATCATTCACACTAAGCATGCTTGTAGTGACAATGGAGAGGAAAAACTCCATTTTAACAGGAAGAAACCTCCAGCAGAACCAGTCTTAGTGTGAGCGGCCGTCTACCGTGTCCAATGGGGGTTCAAGGAGACAGAATCAGGCAACTGATAGCCAGGCAGACGAGCTCCAAGTCTGCCTTTCTCTACAATGTCAGAGAATGAAAAGAGCACATCCAGCCAGTCACAGTCAGAGAAAAAGGACTACACAGGCCAATCCCCAACATCTATAAACAAATGTGTTGATGGCAGCAGCACAGCTGATATTTCTCTCCAGGATGGTGTCACAGCCAAACAGGAACAGACCAGATGAAGCTACTATGAGAAAAAGCAGAGAGAGCATAATGTTAGAGATTAAACTAACAGATTCTGCAGAGTGGGAGAATAAAAGATAGAAGGAAGCAGAATGATGAAATAGTTATAAGATATTTTGTTCAGAGGACCTTTTAAAAGAACTTTAGAGTTTAGTCGATCTGTTCATAGCAGCTTGGAGCTGAAAGTTGTGAAATGATCTTATTAGGGTTTTATCAGCTCTGGATGTTGGAGGTGCTCCGTTGGTGCCAGGCTTCCCTAGTCAGAGTCAGGAATGTGTTGGATGTCAGAGTGAGGGAATGTCTTCCATTCCGAACAAGGCTTTGAAGTGAACCTCTCAGCCATAAAGATCATCGGTCCCAGAGCCCCGTGTCGTGGACTATCCACCCACTGGCTGATGTTTTTACAGTCCTCAGTTTAATGAAAAACCAAAGGGTCATCCAGCAGCTCCCTCTTCTTTTTTATTTTTCCTCAGACAAATCTAATGTCTAGATTATTAAGGAGGAAAAACAATGAGTGTCTTCCGGCTGTGTGGAGCTCATAACTGTGAGGAGAGTTAGATATCTGATGTCCCATATGTCCTAATGGTCTGTTGAACTGGATGTGGACCTCAATTTAGCTGCCTTGATTTATCAGCTGCTTTTGTGTTTGAGTGAACTTTTGCACTGGTGGCTCCTGGGCCCCATCTGTGCATGGATGACAGTGTGTGTTTGTCTCAGATGCTCTCCTCCTTGTCTCTCCATGCCTGTGAATATTGTTATGACAGAACTTCTTGTGCATCTCGTCAATAAATCATAAGGCTTTGTTTACTCTTTGAGGAAGGTTTTAAAAACTTGTATTTTCCTCCCTGTGTCCTTCTTGTCTTTTCGCAGAACTTTAGGAGAGGCCTGGGCCCAGCTCAAGAAGAGCCTGGCAGACGAAGCTGAGGTTCATCTAAAGTTCTCTTCAAAGGTAAAATTACCTTACTTCCATTATTTAGGTTTAATGCTAAAAATGAGCTTCTCTATGTATTTAATGCAGTCGAGGAGTATCATAAGAGTTAATCTGTTGCCTGGCGTTTTATGTTTTGCCCCAAACCAAGTGGAAGTGGAGAAAATCAGACAGATATGCCCCATTAACACTATCCCTCTGAAACGATCCGAGCCGAGTTCGGACCGAGCTTGGATCAGTTAACCGTGCCGAGCTTGGTTCTTATGACCATTTACACATCACGCTAGCATGGTTCCCCGCCTCCTATGGGCAGTCGACGATACTACAGCTCTCAAGGGGGGAACTATGCAGACAAAAATAGTGTCACCCATAACATTCAGGAACTTACGTGCCTGGATAGCGTCCTCCGCACAAATTTCTATGAGAACCTCGGTCTCGTTCTCATCCCAGGTTGCTCATGTGCTCTTTGTTATCAGAGAACCGAGCCACAGCTAAACTGTGCCGAGCTCTACCGTTGAACTAGTACTAGATTTAGCGCGGTTTGGTTGTTCAGTTTGTTCCATTTAAACTCAGTCATCTCGGTTACCGTGCTTGGACCTTTCTTGCGGTTTCAAAAGGGTAGTGTAAATGGGGCTTTAGGTTCCCTGAAGATGCTTGAAGGCTTAAGGCCTGGTTATACTCGTGCAGCAGTATGTCGCAGTGAGCTTGACGCAGACATTTTTGATTTATGCCCAGTATTGAAGCGTGGTCTGCGCTATACGCTGTGGGTCTAGATATGGCCGAGGCGGAGAGGAAATGGGGGCGAGTTTGTCCGACAACGGAGGGACATGATGGCGAAAAATAGCGGGGATCCAGGTGGAAAAAGGGTCCCAGCATTCTTGCGCACCTCGCTCTTTTAGCTGGTCCAACGTCACAAGTTTTTTCTGCAATTTCAGTCATAAAAACACAACAAGCCAGCTTCCTGTCTGCGGTCAGCTACAATTTGGGAGAGGTGCAGCGGAGTGTCTGCGGAGGAGACAGGGATGTCTTTTTGTTTACTGCCACACCTACGCAGAGGACCTAGTTTTGAAGTATAAAACAGCCTTTAGTGTAGAAATTAAGAAAGATAGAAAACAAAACAACATGCAGTATATAATTACATTCACAAAACCTGTTTTTTCACTGGAATTCAATGTGATAGACCCACATAAAGTAATGCTACTTAAAAGGGGGAAAAAAAAAATAGGACAGTTTTTAACCTTTTAAATAAATCAATAATTTAAATATTGTGGGCCTTTGTCCGAGTCCCTACTTTTTAAAACTATATTTCATTTAGCCAGAGATCTCTACCAGCTTTGGAAATCTAGATGTAATGTTTTCTTCCATTTGTTCTTTAGAAATAGGTTCAGCGAGTTTAGGTGGATGGTGTCGTTGGACAGCAGTGTTTAAGTCTTACCATGGATTCTCAGTGGATCTAGATAGGAACTTGTCAGTTATGCAAAATTTGATGTGATTAACCAGCTTTTAAGAAAATACAGTAAAAATTTTACAATTTCTGAATATTTTAGTCCCTTAAATGACATGGAGTTCTCTAGGTGAACTGCAGGGGGCAGTGTGTTCTCAGTTTCCTGTTGACTGATATCCCTAATATTCCCTAGTCTTCCTTAATAATAGAAACTTTTAGTTTAGGTTTTTCAATGAGAAAAATGAAATGTAACGGATAGCTTCAGCATTTACTGAATTTTATTACAGTACCATGCAACTTTTATTACAATATACTGCGCTGTGCATAGACATAACTCTGGTATCCTGGTGCCGCAATTCTGAAGTTTGAAACAAACGGTTTCATAGAAAAACATAGAAGATAATGGCATAGGCTACAAAAAAATTAAAGCTAGCCTACATCTGTTTTGTGTTGCTCGTCTGCTGCAGCGCACTAAGAAATCACTTCACATATTTATCCATGGTTCACTGGATCAGAGTTTTCTCCAACACCGAGTTCACTTGTTTTTCAAAAGAATGTAAAAGGTCAAAGTTTTTGAAAACAACATGCTGGACACCAGTCTTTAAAATGCAAGATGCATTCCTACAATGGTACCCGCACCAAAGCGCTCTTGTACCTCCGCAATGACACTGGAGTGAGGTCATCACTTTCGATCCACTTATTAATTATATTTGCACATGTTTACATTCATAAAATGGCCAAAAATGAACACTATAAGCGGCTTCCACTTAGTAGTTATATTTATGTTTTGTTACTAAATGTGAGAAACCAAAGGAGATGAAAACAACACCTCCTGCGGTCAGCCAACCACACGCCCTCATTTAAAGACACACTTCTCCTGCAGAGCGTCACCATTTCTAACTCTATAGTGAGGTAGATCAATGTCCCCCTTTGTCTGTGACCATGGAAACACATTCATTGCTCACTGTGCAAACAAGTCTGGCTTGTCTTTTAGTTTAGTTTTTTTTTTCCCCCTCTTAACTTTATGAGTATGAAGATAAAGTTTGAGCATGTAAATCTAAAGATAAGTCGGATCATTTCAGAAAACATGATTGACAGTCAGTTAAAAAGCCGTTGAGGTTTAGAAACATATGTCCTCATTTATTTCTCCTGTTTGATCAGTTAGACATGAAGATGGAGAGAAGAGAGATGCAGGAGAAAATCTTGGGTGATGTTATGCTCCAGAGATGCACAGATGTGCGGCATTCTTCCAGATTCTCAGAAGAGACAGGAAGGATTTGACTGGAAATGATCTTTGAGTGATGAGTTGCAGTGTGACTACAGGAAGAAGCTGCACTTCTATTTCAGGGCTGACAGCTGGGGCAGAACGCCACCTTGCTTATTAGGATCATTAAACAAGCGCAGCGCTTGCTGCAAACATTAAAAACTGACATAATCTCGTCACATTCTGGAAGCTTTGCTGTTTACTTAAAATCTCTTTGCTCGGGAATCAAGAGAAGGAAGCATAGCTGCTTGGATAAGGCTGTAGTTTGGATTTATCATCCCCACAGGCTCAGTGTGAGAGGATGATGACTCTATGAGGAAAGCTAGTCAGGAGCAAGGAGCTAATTAAAGGACTGTATTCATATGCAAACAGAGGGTAAAGTCACACATTTTTATTTACAGCTCAGGCTAATAAATGTTGGCTTTTGAGAAAATAATCAATTATGATATGTCATAACTTATTCAGAGCTAATCCATATTTTTGTTCTTTTTGGAGAAAGCTGGAGCTAAGAAAGTGATACTAACAAGTAATAAACAATATCTAGTAACAGAATTGTGGGTCTGGTTCCTTGAAGTGTCAAAGTTGTTCTACTACATTACAAAAGGATAAATACGATGTTGAACTTGTAGCATAGCTAACTGCCGATTAATGGATAGACTGGGGCACTTCTAAAGAGACAAACCCAATAAGGGAAAAAGAGAAATTTAAATAAGGTTTAAACAAACATCAACATCAGAACTGAAAACAGAAAATTGTAAATAAGTGTAATCCAATAAAGCTGCATGCAGGCATATCTAATGACATTGCGTCTACAGTATATGTGGATTATGAGTTCATGCAGGTAAGTACAATCCTAAATCTGTTAAGAACACTTTTTAGGATTAAAGTAAGGGATTTTGTTCATAATAGCCACAGAATAACATTTCTATGTTCTGCTGACCGGAGGTGGATAATGCAAGTCCAGAAAGTAAAAGGCCTGTAAAGAGATTTTTGCTCATTTTATTTAACCAGGAAAAAACAATCCTATTGAGATTGAAAACCTCTTTTTCAAGGGAGTCCTGGCCAAGAGGCAGCAAAGTTAGATAATGAACAGAGATATATTAAATTAAATTACAGGTACATAACAAAATATCAAATAAAACGATTACAGATAATTGAGGCTGCTTCAATTTATTTCGATTTCAACTTAAAAGCATTTAAAACTAAAAACTAAGTCAACTTCCAGTTTCTTTGTAAAAACTTCCACGCACAAGGAGCTGCGTAGCTAAAGGCTTTCTTCCCTAGTTCTGTGCGGGCAAAAGGAACAGTGAGCAACAGCTGATCGTTGGATCTTAGGGCATAAGAAGCCATGCTTTTCTGTGTAAGTAAGGTACAAATGTAAGAGGTCAGTAATCCAAGAAGGACCTTGTAAATAAAAGTGTACCAATGACACTGAGGGAAGGCCATCCCACCTGACCCCTGGCTCACACCGACTCCGGTCTTACCGTTGCGGTGCGGTGGGTGCGGCGCCGCAGTCATTAAAAAAAAATCATTAAAAAGACGTAAACCTCTCTCACCGGCTGCTGAGCTGTCCGGCTGCGGTTACCGAGACACTCTGGCGCTGCAGAAAATTCCGCAAGAAAGCTATCCTTGCGGCGTGCCGGAGCCCTCCGCAACAAGCTCTCGCAAATATCTTTATTTGGGCCGTGTTATCGCGTGAAGTTACGTGAACTCAAGTGAACTTCTGTTCTCGCGAGTTAAATCTCCGGACCTGTTGCCGGAGCCGCAGAGCCGCACCGCACCGTAGTCAAAAGGGCGGTGTGAGAGGGGGTGTGCGGGAGTTGCGGTCTCCGTCGGCTCGGTAACCGCACCGGAGCCAGTGTGAGCAAGGGGTGAGAGTACAGGTCACAGTGATGTCATGGCTCTACAGTTTGTGATGAACCTTGATGAAGCATGGTAAACAGAGTCCAACATTTGAAGACATAAAGAAGTAGCAAGAGATCATTTCCAACCATCTGCATTTCCAGCTCCAAAATGCAGACCAATCACCCAAAGTGGTTATCACCTTGTTAAGTGAACAGGATGAAGGAAAACAAGGCAGGTTTTTTTTTTTTTACTTTCTGGACCAGTTGCTGGTGGACATCCCTGCTGTAGTTTATAATGTGCAAGGGTTTGCATTGGATGTCTATGTTTCTTTGTTCTACGTGTCTACATCTCAGGGTGTGAGGACAAGAAATGGAATCACAGGATCTCCAACCAGCAATGCTTTGTGTGCTACTTCATCACATGGTTATCTAAAATGAAAAACCTATGGGGTCAAAAGAATGATTTGCCAATTGAACAGAGTGGTGTGATAAGTTTCAACTGGATTTGGGAACTAGAGTACAACGTTGGTACATGACTTTCTGTCATGAATCAGAACAGAGGATTTAGTATTCGAGGCAAGACAGACAGTCGGATAATTTAAAAGCATTTATTAAAAAATTGGAACTGTAGTAGCGGCTATGGCATCTATCACGGGAAACTCTGTAAAAGGAAACACAGGTTAGCGATCACGATAATCTGATGGAGGATGATTATAAGTCAGTAACCTGGTTTAACAGTTCCGTCTGTGTCCTGAGAATGAGGTAAAATCCAGCCGGTGAGCTGCCAACAAGATGTGGCGGGCTCCGCCCAGAGTGCCCCAGACGCTGCAGCCCCGGAGAACAGAGAACAAGCAGGGATCTGAAGACAGGTCAGGCAAACCCGTCAGCCGGAAACAGACAGGCTCAGTGGATGAGAGGCAGAACAGGTCAGGTTCACAACTGGCTAGAGAGAACAAGATAATCAGACCCTGATAACCGAAAGCAAGCGCCTCAAATAGAGGCAGGAACAGGTGGATCAGATGAGCAGCGATTAGAAACCAGGCAGCATTAGACAGGTGAATGGAAGTGGTAATTAAGCCAGTTATCAGTAGCAAGAATGTGACACTTTCAGCTTTGACTGGTTCGTATGGCACAGTTTTAATGTTTTCCCTGTTTTCTCTTAGATTTTCCTAATGTCAGGAAAACAAACTAGGGAAATGTTCTTTTCTTCGCCTTCCTTCATGCTGCGTTCAATGTGTTGATCCCTGGTTTGTTTTCTGAACAGCTCCAGAGTGAGGTGGAGAAACCCTTCCTGACATTCAGGGAGAACTTCAAGAAGGACATGAAGCGATTCGACCACCATATCGCAGACCTGCGGAAGCAGCTTGTAGGTCGTTACGCAGCCGTGGAGAAGGTGAGATCATCAACTCCTGTAGCTCCTAATTCTTTAAGCAGCTGATAAAAAAAGACTTCCACCCTCCACAAGCTGCCTCCTTTTTTTAGTGTGATCAAGAGCTATTGGCTGCAGCCTGAAGGTAACCAGAAATCTGTCTCGCATCATCTGTCATCTTAGTAGAGCTCGTATGCCAGATAAATCCATCTGCTCCACAATTTTATCTTTAAATCAGGAAAAAAAATGAGCCACTTGCACAAAGTGAATACCGAGAGTTGTTCAAAGATGGCAGTATCACTGATGGATGAAAACAGGCTGATAAATGCCATTTTATCACTGTGTCCATGAACTTACAGCTGGCTGTTTAAAGGAAAAGAACATTCAAGAAACATTGGATTATTTAACTTTCTTTCTGTCAGTCTCAGACTCAAGCGTTTGTTTTTTATCTCGTTCAGGCAAGAAAAGCTCTGGCAGACAGACAGAAGGAGCTGGAGTTAAAGACACAGCAGCTAGAGAGCAAACTCAGCAACAAAACGGAGGAGGAGATCAAGAAGGCTCGGAGGAAATCCACACAAGCAGGTCAGAGGAAAAGGTCCATCTGTTGTTGAGGTTCCACGCAGGGATCTGTAGTTTTACTTTGGCCAGAGCGCCTCCTGTTTATTCATGCTGGGGGAAGATGCTGGTTTGGTCAGTGGGAGCTGGAGTTGAGGATTATATGCTTTACTTTTAAATATCGTTTTATGGTTTGCCTACCTGCAGCAGTTCATGCAGAGTTTGCTTAGAGCCTGTGGCTGTGCTCAAGTTCTATTCCTGCAGAGGGTCCTCGCTAAGGCTGCAAATAACGATTATTATGTAAATCGATTAATCTGTTGATTATTTTTTCGATTAATCGACTAATAATCGGCTAGCGAAAGGTTCTTTAAAGAAGATTTTATACAAAATTAAACCAAGTGTAACTAAAACCTTTGCACTTGGGCAGTTCTGGATAGGGAATATTGACAGAACTATTTTTTTTTATCCTGAATACAAAATGTTTATATATTTTTTTACTATCTAGTTATAATTACTGCCCTAAGTGAGTTGCTTTGTCAACTAAAGTCTTGTTGTAAAGTTTCTATACTCCAGTGAACAATTAATCGATTACCAAATTGTCAGTCTTATGTCGCAGAAAAGATTTGTCCTCATCATTGTTTCTGATTATAGAAAGTCCCAGTAACATCAATGCATTTCTGGGTTCCAGAAATTATTGGAATCTATTGCAAATTAAGTTTCTATAAGTTTGATAAAGCAGGCTATTATTTTACCTCCTTTAATTTGATTAAAAAGTATAAATCAGTTTGAATTGATGCAAGATGATGTGAAAAATATATAATACCTACAGCATACATAACTTAAAATGAATACTGTTATTTCAGTTCATATTCAGCATCTGTCAGACATTATGCCAACTAACTGATCCCATTTACGAACCAAAGGCAGCATAAATTTGATCAGCTGCCAAGGATTGACTAGTAATTTTACTGTAATATAGTCCTTTCTGCTCTTATCTGGTCTTTTTGTCCTTGTTTGAATGAATACAATACATTTGATATTGAGAAATGTGTCCCTTCTCAAATTCATCTTAAGTTTTTTTTCTCTTAAATCCTGCTTAATGTAAAATTTTAACAGAAACGGACCTAAAAGTCGGCATTAAAGCCAACATTTAATATTTAACAGGCAAATAAAATACATTCCCAATTAATCTGCGTTAATAATTAGCTTAAAGGAAATTACATCCAAACCCTCCTCTGTTTTGTAAGCCTCTCATTGGATCGGCTGCTTGATACTCCCTGTGAACCCAGCTGCTGGGTTGTTTTGGTGTCAAGCACTTTATTGGGGCTGTGGGGCACACTGGGGTTTTAAAGTTATTTACTTTTTTTAAAGCAGGATGAAAGCCAGACACATTTTCTGCTTCAACAGTTCGTTCACACCAGCCTGAGAGGTGTGGGTGCAAAAAAAGTCATTATCACCCCAAAGGATGCAGATAGAGGTGGAGTTAACTTCCCACATGATGCCCAAATACACATCTAATGGCCAAAAACACCCAACCCAGAGTAAATTCATTAGAAAAGTTGTTTTAATCCTCCAGACCAACATGAAAACCATCATTGGTTGTTTATTGGTTTCACTCATGTTAAGCATAACAATTCAAAAGTACTTTATTAAACCCAGAGGGAAATTTAATTGAAGTAAATAATACCAAAACCTAAGAAACTGGAGTGAGAGAGTCCGTCTTACTCTTGTTAAGTCGTATTTGACCAAAATTCTGTGCCTCAACGATTTGAAAATTTCAATACATAAAATTGTGAATATATTGCAAATAGAATTAATTGCAGAGCCCTTCTGGAGACTCTGCAAATTAACAGGCATCCTTTACAGAGAGGAGCAGTCACAGGCACTGACCTGATGGGAACAAGTGTATAAATGGATGTGGTTTGGACTGAGAATCGGCATAAACCACCTTTCATTCAAAACAAAACTCTCATACATACATTTTGATTGAGCTGAATCCAAACATAAAATTCCCCGACTGCCATGCTTACACGATGCATTTCCATTCTGAGTGCTTATGCTCATATAAACCTACCTAAAAACCCGTCAAACTGATTTTGGAACAGCTCAGTTAACTAAAGTCTTTGCTGACTTTTCTCTCATGAGAACATTGTGACATTTTTTTCTTGCTTTCATGGAAAGGTTCCCCCAAACACCTTTGTACATCTGTGCCTGTCACTATGAAGCACATTTAAGATGATTGGATACTTTTTTTTTGGAGAGAGTGATTATTTATTCTTTTGTATTCCCTCTGTTCTTAACAAAAATAGGGATATCACCAGGAGTCTGTATGCATATGCTGGAATAAAGTTAGCTGAATGTGTTATGCCATGACAAAAATAACAGGAAGGCCCTAGAGGCCTTAAAGTGCCCGGTAGCATTTTAGTTTTAAAAGGTGTGATACCTCAGGAATGTGCATGGTTAAGTATAAGCAGAGACAAACTCTCAGCCAGATGGTGACGTTATGAGTCAAGCAGACGGCCACATGCTGTCACATGGAAGAAGGAGAACTCCATCCCAGCCCACTCTCACTACCAGAACCAGGCCTCCTGCCTGCTCCTTATGCAACAAGGAAACAACAGAATCTAAGAAAACAGCAACAGTTGTTGATGTTTCTCCTGAGGCAGACTGGAGACTGGGAGCAAAACAACTAAAGAACGGCATGTTTGCTCACAATATATTCATTTGTTTTTAGATTTATCTGTTCTTAGGAGAACGGTATGTTTGAGTCCAGCAGCTTGAACATTACATTTAATGGGAAACATGGAAACAAGCTTTACTTTCTTCAATGTGACAGAAATAATGCAAAGTTGGGAAATAAACAATCTTCTAGTTATATTTCTCGGAGTTTATCATATTTCTGTTAAAAATTTTTCAGACCTAATATTTGTCAAATCTATATTATTAAGTCCCACAGTGTGAATAACTGAGAGTGGAATATTATTATCTAATATGTACAGTAGTTCTTCTAATAATAGAAACTTCATGGATGATCATGTTTTAATATCTTTTTCTTTAATTTATTATATATTGTTGGAACATCTGTGCTATTCTCCTCTAGTGTCTTCAATTGATTTGACTTCACTTTTGGATTTCTGTAAAAAAACATAAAAAATCTAGCCTGCTTCCAAAGTGTAAAACAGAACCAATGTCCCATTTACACTACCCCTCTGAAACCGATCCATGCAGAGGTCGGACAAAGCTTGGATCAGTTAACGGCGCTGTGCTTTGTTCTTACGACCATTTACACATCATGCTACCACGGTTCCTCGCCTCCTATCAGCGGTCCACGATACTGTACTTCTCAAGGTGGGAAATACGCAAACTAAAATGGCAGTGCCCATAACATCAGGAACATCTGTGCCTGGATAGCATCCTCCACCCTAATTTAAATGAAAGCCTCGCTCCCTGCATCATCCCGGATCGCACCACGCTCTTTTAATACCATTTATTGTTATTAGGCTGAGAAGAATTTTGTGTTGTGAACAGGTGAAGAGATCTGTGTTATATACTAACCCAGACAAGGCAGAAAACCAGCAAAATGAGTCAGCTGACTATAAGTAATAATAAGGAGATAATGTGGTCTGCTCATGCACTTTATCAGAGAACTGAGCCACAGCTGAACAGTGCCGAGCCCTACTGCTGAACTATTAATGGAGCCTAGGCAGAAGTTCAACTGATGAAACTCATTGCTCTCCTTCATCCATCTTCGACACAGCCAATCAGCTTTGAACCACACCTCCATGAAAGCCAATCGCCATCTAAAGGTCATCTTAAAAGGCCTTCAATCCGCACTGTCTGCTCCTAGTGCGCAGTCGGTGGATGCTCCCTGTGACTTCATTCAGAGGACACCGTTTCAACCCACCTCCATCCCCTCCTCCACCATCGTAGCTAAAGCTTCTTCAGAGTGTCATTCCTCTCGGACTCTTACTGCATTCCTTGTCTCATCTTAACCAGTCAGGCAGAAGACCGCCATGTTGAGACTGAAGTGAAGTGAAGCTCTATTATCAGCTCACGCAGTCCACTGGATCTCCCCATATAGCTCAGCAGACCGTCTCTCCAACCAGCAGTCTACAGACAGACCAACTTCATCTATCTCCATTCTCAACCAGTTTCAGGCCTGGGGGGAAACAGCCATTCTTTGCTCCTGTTTATGCATATCTATCAAAATTAAGTGCTATGTTTCCTGCCGAGGTCTGAGCGCCACAGACAAAGTCATTGTATTATAAAATTTCTCCTATTTATATTTTCTCTTCACGTGAGTTTTTCAGATTGAACTAGATTTAGCGCATTTCAGTTGTTAAGCACGGCCCAGTTCAGTTGTGTTCCATTTACACTCGACAGTGATCTCAGTTACCGTGCTCGGACCGTTCTCAGCACGGTTTCAAAAGGGAAGCATGAACGGGGCTCAAGTTGCTTCAACTTGTAAAGTTCTATGCTGAGCCTTTGTGTTATCTGCTAAAAACCTTTTCTCTCTCTCTCTCTCACAGCCTCAAAGAACTGCAGACACATATTGTCTTGCAGTCACAGCTTTCTTTTAGATTGCTGTTCACATTATTTGTTCTGTCTCTATTCCATTAAAAAAACTTACTGGTTAGAACACAGATGAGTTATCTTCCATCCACACTAAAGCTTGTTTTTAGTGACCTGCTGGTGTTGACTGATGTTTACGAACCCTTTAAAGTATTTTTGTCCTGGATTTTCTACAGAATATCTTTAAAATCCAGTCCATACCGAAGTCCCTGTTTGTTCTTATGAATCATGATCTAAATCATTAACCATTAGAAATGACACAATGGTTGCAAAATCAATTCTCACAGAACCATGTTGGTTAAGTCAAGCCAATGTTGAGGTTTAGTAGCATACTAAGAAGTTGTTTGTTTTATGTTCATAGTAACCATGTTCTCCCTGCAGTGTTAAGGTGACTTTAAATAGAAGACACTGCCCAGCATCATTTCCTCTCTTATCTCCCCTGTGATGAGTTCTTGATTTTGTTTTGCTTGTTTTTTTTTAGAATGTGAGCCGTATCATTAATGAATAAGGGATTAGCTCTCCTTATATACACTATCGTAATGAAATCTATTATCAGTCCAGATTCTCTGCTATGCTTTGGAATAACAGCTGATTCCTGGCAGCAGACTGCTGCCTCAGGCTGGTCTTGTGACGACACCTGCTGGCTGTTTTGTGTTACTGTTGTATTCAGTATTTCCATAACAGACTCTTGTGATCAGACTTATTTTCTTCTCCAACAGGAGATGATCTGATGCGCTGTGTGGACCTGTATAATCAGTCTCAGTCTAAATGGTTTGAGGAGATGGTCACCACCAGTCTGGTAAGGACACACCCACAGCAGAGTGGATGTGAAGCAAAGCTGTTCCACATTGGAGCTGAAGTGTTTCTATGCTGTCCTCACCAGGAGCTGGAGAGACTGGAGGTGGAGCGAGTGGAGATGATCCGCCAGCATCTCTGTCAGTATACAACTCTACGACACGAGACGGACATGTTCAACCAAAGTGTGAGTACTGGACAGACACAGGGACCTGCAGAAGTGTTCCAACCATTTCAGCTTCAGCCAAATATTTAGCATTGAAAGCACAAACCTCTGAAGTGTTTTATTCTAACAATCAAGTAAAGCATGATTGTGTAGTAGATGTAAAATGATGCACAGTCTGAAATCTTTTAACAACTTGCTTTTTCTTGCTTTTAGCTGCCTTGAGCATTTTCTAAAGAATGTTGTCAAAATGACCTGGAAATATGTAAAAGAGTTGGCTTTGGAAGTAACCACGGAAAGCACCAATATATATACACCCATATATATATATACACTATATTGCCAAAAGTATTTGCTCACCTGCCTTGACTCACATATGAGCTTAAGTGACATCCCGTTCCTAATCCATAGGGTTCAATATGACGTCGGTCCACCCTTTGCAGCTAGAACAGCTTCAACTCTTCTGGGAAGGCTGTCCACAAGGTTTAGGAGTGTGTTTATGGGAATTTTTGACCATTCTTCCAGAAGCGCATTTGTGAGGTTGCACACTGATGTTGGACGAGAAGGCCTGGCTCTCAGTCTCCGCTCTAATTCATCCCAAAGGTGTTCTATCGGGTTGAGGTCAGGACTCTGTGCAGGCCAGTCAAGTTCATCCACACCAGACTCTGTCATCCATGTCTTTATGGACCTTGCTTTGTGCACTGGTGCACAGTCATGTTGGAAGAGGAAGGGGCCAGCTCCAAACTGTTCCCACAAAGTTGGGAGCATGGAATTGTCCAAAATGTCTTGGGATGCTGAAGCATTCAGAGTTCCTTTCACTGGAACTAAGGGGCCAAGCCCAGCTCCTGAAAAACAACCCCACACCATAATCCCCCCTCCAACAAACTTTACACTTGGCACAATGCAGTCAGACAAGTACCGTTCTCCTGGCAACCGCCAAACCCAGACCCGTCCATCAGATTGCCAGATGGAGAAGCGCGATTCGTCACTCCAGAGAACGCGTCTCCACTGCTCTAGAGTCCAGTGGCGGCGTGCTTTACACCACCGCATCCGACGCTTTGCATTGCACTTGGTGATGTATGGCTTGGATGCAGCTGCTCGACCATGGAAACCCATTCCATGAAGCTCTCTGCGCACTGTTCTTGAGCTAATCTGAAGGCCACATGAAGTTTGGAGGTCTGTAGTGATTGACTCTGCAGAAAGTTGGCGACCTCTTCGCACTATGCGCGTCAGCATCCGCTGACCCCGCTCCGTCAGTTTACGTGGCCTACCACTTCGTGGCTGAGTTGCTGTCGTTCCCAAACACTTCCATTTTCTTATAATACAGCTGACAGTTGACTGTGGAATATTTAGGAGCGAGGAAATTTCACGACTGGATTTGTTGCACAGGTGGCATCCTATCACAGTTCCACGCTGGAATTCACTGAGCTCCTGAGAGCGACCCATTCTTTCACAAATGTTTGTAAAAACAGTCTGCATGCCTAGGTGCTTGAATTTATACACCTGTGGCCATGGAAGTGATTGGAACACCTGATTCCAATAATTTGGATGGGTGAGCAAATACTTTTGGCAATATAGTGTATATATATATATATATATATATATATATATATATATATATATATATATATATATATATATATATATATATATACATATATATTATTAGTTAAAGATTAGTAGCGATTCACTGCTTGACACCAGCAGAGGGAAGTGATGAGTCATTTTTTCATACTTATTTAAAAGTAGATGTTACCTGGTCAAAAGTTAGCATATTAATTTCTGTTGTCAGCTAACAGCTGGTTTTCTTTCTTACAGACTATGGAACCTGTGGATAAGCTCCTACAGTGTGTGGACCCATTGAAAGACAGAGAGGTGTGGGTGAAGGAGAATAAGACAGGAGAAATCAGGCCCGTCGACATAGAGATCTGACCTGCTGGCTGGGTGAAGAGCTCTCACCAGGACATGTAGGAGCTCCATAGATGAGGATATGATCAGGAGTAGCTCTGTGACTGGATCTTAACCCCCTTTCTCTCACTAATCTGTGTGACGGTCGAAGAGGCTGAGAAAGAGCTCACCGGTTCTTTATCCACATGCAGATCCCTGATGAGACTGATGTCCGTGTTTCTCCGAACGTTTAGGGAAGATGGCTGCAGCAAAGTTTTGTTTAAGTACACTGATTTATTAAACAGGAACATGGTAACTAAAGGGGAACTGTTTCCTAAAGGATACTCGGGTGAAGTAAACGATGAAGCAGCACCGACTTGTACATTTGTAAATAATGAAAAGCTTTATGTCAAGTAGAAGTATAATTCTGACTCTCAAAAACTGCTATGATTTAACAGGTGCTGCTAAAGCTATGAACAGTTTAGCTTAGGTGGTTGACATAATGCTGTATAACCACGTTAGGTTATAATACAAACATCATTGTGATGCTACAACCTTCAGCTTCTGTTGCTACAATCTTCTGTTGAAGCCAATAGTTATTGACTAAAAACAAGATGCAGCAATTATACATAATCAACATGGATTTACCATTAAAATTAGAACGACATTTATATACATGCAACATTTTCTATCATTAATAGGCTGTTGGAAAAAATTAAAGGAACACTTTGAAAACATGATAAAAAAAAAAAATCTGAATTTTCACATCAATTTGGATTTTTCTTGCCTTTATTGTAAACAAAAGAAGGCCAAATCTTTTGTTAAACATTTAAAAATTACTATTCCACTGAGGATTTAATCTAAAGTCTCTGAAAAAATTAAGCCCTTTATTTAAAAAGCAATGATTATTCTATGATCACGTGTCAAAAAGTATAAAAGTATTAGATGCTAAAAGTGGTAAGAAATGAGTAGTAATCAGAATCTGTTGTATCTAAAGTGGTGTGATCTCTTCTTCCATCATACACTATCAGAGCTAATGGCTTAAAAAAGCTCAACAAGCTAATAAAGAAGGCCAGCTCTCTTCTAGAAACTCCTCTAGAACCGCTTTAGATTATTAAAAAAAGAAGAATTCTTCATAAAGCGGAGAACATCATGAACAACAGAGCAGTGTCTTCAGTCAGAGGCTTCCCACGATGCGATGCAAGACAGGCCGCTACAGAAGATCCTTACTGCCCTCAGCTATCAACACCTATCAACACCTGTGTAAAAAATTCTTTGAGTTATTGCAACATTTAATTTCCCTTTGTCCCCATTGAACTGGAAGGTAAAGCTGTCAAAGCCGATGAGTAAATGGAGGCATGTTTAAGTTCTACCAGCAGATGGCAGCTTTGTACAACAAGGCTTGCACACTGATTGCTCAAAAAATATTTTCAGGTAAAAAATGGAGTAAGCAAACACTATCAGGATGAACACCTTCCAAAACCATCCAGCTTTTTTATATAGCACTTTAAGAAAAATAATAGGACCAAAGTGCTGCCCAAAGGCGAAGACATATAAACACCAATAAAAGATTAATAAACAATATAAAATAATTAAAGGAATTAAAACATTCCTGAATTTAAAACAAAGACATAAAATCAACCATCATCAACATCCTTTTTAATGTTTTTAAAAATGGTCAAAGAGGAAGCCTGCCTGATAGGCAGAAGGTGGGTACCTTGCACATATTGCCTCATTTTACCCCGAATATATTCTTATTTTTATACTTTTTATCAGGCATAAGTAGACGACTAACAAAAAAAAAAAGCTTCCACTTAACTGCTCAGGTCAATATTCCAGAAGTTAAATTAACTTGATACCAAACTCCAAATTAAAAATGTTCCTTTATTGTTTTAGTTGAAAGATGTATTTCTGGGAGTAAAACTGTTGTAATCTTTTCAAAGAGTTGGCTAACCTAAGCTAATTCAGCATTAATTTTCTGACTTTATGTTTACAGTTTTTTTTTATGACAAGATGTTGATTAAACTAATAAATCTACTGCAAAAATGCTGCTTGTTTGAAACTGGCAAAGAGTTCTCAAACTGATCGATCAGATCAATGGAGCGGGGTCCGTCAGACCCCTGTGAGACGCAGAGGATAAACCCTGGAATGGGGTCTAGGAGACCATTTTGAGAAACAACATGGGGGGAGCTATGGAACAGGGTTCAGTGGACACCATGCTCAGCAGACTGTTTTATTAAAGTTAGTTCTTGGTTGGACATGGGTTGCAATGTTTTACAACCAACATTGAGACAGGAACCTCTGAGAGGCACAGATTGGGTTAGTGGCCAAATTATTCTCTCTTTCAGCAGTTCAACCAGAGGAAAATGCCACTAACCACCTCAAGATCTTTGAGGAGGGGGAGGAAGAGGTTGTAGGATCCTCTGCAGATCTCACAGCATCAGTGATGTCACTGCAGGCTTGAAGACAGAGAGCAAGTTTAGTGGCCTTCGAATGAGACAGGGTAACAGAGGAATGCAGGCACTTTCTCTAAAGAGGATTTGACATTCTGATTTTCCAGGGCAGAGACAGGGCTTGTCGGTATGGGACAAAAAGAGGATCTCATCTATGGAACAGAACTAGGTGGGGGGATCCAAATAGAAGGCAAGATTCAGACTATTGGACCAGGATCAATAGGGCAGAATCAGGCTTACAAGTGATGGGACTAGCTAAGAAGCACAAATGTAATCGGAAAATCAGAAACGCCCCATGAGAGCCGTCAGGATGAGGAAGTCATTGGGCAGAAATGGGACCAGTAAGAGGTGATTAAACGGAGAAAGAACGCTGGACATTTACTAACCAAGGGGTTTCAATAATCTGGTCCTATCAACTAGTTTGGTGCTGTAACTACAGACATTAAAAGATGTTATTTCAGCTGAATTTGATGTCCAAACTATTGCTTGAAACCAGAACTATTACAAAATACCCATTTACCACTGCCTTAATAGTATATAGTGTGGTTATACTAATAGGACATTGGTAAAAGGGTATTTTGTGCAAGTTCTGGCTTCAAGCAATGGTATAAGAAAATAAATACGTGCATCTTCTTTTAAAATCATTATTATATCAAACAGGAAGAGTCCCATTGAGATTAAAAACCTCTCTTTTTTAGTTCTGTGCAGGGAAACGTACAGCAATAAGTGATCCTTTGAACTGAAAGAGTAAGACTCAATACTTCTTTGTGTGATTGAATTGCAGATGTAAGATGACAACAGCCCGAGAATGGCATTTTAGATAAAAATGTATCAATTTCCCAGCATCCTGGTGGATAGAGAAGGCCATCTTACTTGGGAATATTTCGCAATAATGTGTTAGGGCTCCACAATTATTAATAAACCTCAGAGAAGCATGATAAACAGAGTCACTCTTTCAGGTGAGACTTTCAGATGGTCATTTACAACAAGTCTTCATAATCTAAGACCTATAGAACTGTTGCAGTAATAAGCTGCTTGTTCATCCTAAGGGAAAAACAAAAATTGTCTCCAAAGAAGAAACCTCATTTAAATTTAAGTATTTTCATAAGATTATCAATGTGGGGTTGAAAAGGGAATTAATTTTGTTGAATCAAAACATCGTGAATTTTTTTATTTCCATAGAAAAAAAAAACATTTTCACATAACAACAGTAAATGATTTGATCGAGCATTGGTACAATATTTGGCATGAATATATAAGCCATAAAAGACAAGTTGGGACTGAGATACACTTTTAGGTAAAAAACAAAACAAAACCAAAAAGCACTGAAAATGCACACTATTGGTAGGAAACATGGGTAATAATTTCACCTTATTTATGAAAGACGGTTATGGTTGTTAAACGATTATGGATATTATGGAAAAAGACAATTAACAAAAATGTATCCGCCGTTTCCATGTAAGCTACTGTCAACGTATTTTGAAATATACTGACCATGTCAGAGACATTAACTGTCTTCAAAGTTTAACAGTTAGTTATCACACAACAGGGAGTTGGCTTTAACCAATCAACAAAGAAAAATGCTAAAATTAAAAAAGATGAAGGATCCCACAAGGATGTAAAATGTTTCATTGTTGCCTCCAACTTAAGAGTGAAATAGAAATAATACAAGCAAGCCATGTTTGCTCCAGCCACATTAGAGGGAAGAAGTAAACCAGGAACATTGTTTATTCCCTTTGTGACTTTTTTTCTATAGAGATGAGTTAACTCCAATATCCCATTTTACTAACTGACTGGACGCACCAATCAGATTCTGGTGGCCAATTTTAAGCTTTGTACAGCTTTTACTTGCTGGGAGGCGTTAGCCATTTCTGATCTGTCTTTAAGATCTGAAAATAACAGCGTCTAAAATTGTGTTTTCCAGCCATCTTGCCCCTCAGCTGTCCTTAGTTATTTATACTTTAACCAGAAGCAGAAAGCAGCTGCTTTAAAAAAAAAAAAAAGGGTTTTATTGTTTAAGACGAAAAATAAAACAATTAAGAGTGAATAGTTTAAACATAGGTGTTCTCAGTGTCGCGTGGGTAGCACTACTGCTTTGCAGCAAGAAGGTTCCGGGTTCAATTCCTGACCCTGGGTCTTTGTGCATGGAGTTTGCATGTTCTCCCTGTGCATGCGTGGGTTCTCTTCGGGTACTCCGGCTTCCTCCATAACATGACTGTTAGGTTAATTGGCTTCCCTAGATTCTCCCTAGGTGTGAGTGTGTGCAAGAATGGTTGTTTGTCCCGTTTGTCTCTATGTTGCCCTGCGATGGACAGGCGACCTGTCCAGGGTGGATCCCTCCTCTCACACGTAGACAGCTGGAGATGGGCACCAGCACCCCTAGTGACCCTGCTGGAATACAGCGTGTCAGAAAATGGTGGGATGGCTAGTATGTCTTATTTAAGCAGGTTAGCATTGCTAGCTGTAAACAGTGATTTAGTAGACAAAGACAACTTTCTAATTTTTTATGATATTATAATCTTTTATATTTAAATTAAACTGTATTTGTCTTATCATTTTATTTTTACTTTTGTTTATAGCACTTTGAGAGGCTACAAACTATAAAACATATTCAGTATTATCATGGTAACCTTTAAAACAATTACTATTATTACCGCCATCTCCATGGTTTTGGACCTCATCTTTTCTTCTACAGCCAAACTCAAATGGAACCGAACCTGTTTGCATGTATTAAATCAACGGCAACAGACCCACTTATAGCACAACAAAACAAAAACAAAAATAAATAAAGTTTGCATGTGCAATTTAGCAACACCTATGTGTTTTTTTTTTTAGATAAAGGAAATGGCAAAGGCAACAAAATGAAAAGGATCTTGAGTTAAAACAAAATAAACAGCAATCTTGAGTTTTTAACCCTCAAGCATAGAGAACATGGTTGGTCTTAATAATGGTGTGTCCATTTGGGCAGAAAAACACCCCAAATTAACTAGATTTACTCATGACAGCCAATACAGCATGTAAGAAACAGCTATATAAATACTCTTTTTTTTGCCTTGCTTGAGGCGTTTAGACTTCAGGAAATGTTGGAAATTTTGAAAAGCTATGAATTCTGCCATGGAGAGCTGGTAAACAATAATAATGTAACTTAATAACAGTATGAATGCATATAAAAGCAGAACATTTAGAACTAGGACACTTTGGAGGAGAGAATGGAGATGACAGCCACAAAATACAGTTTAGACAGAAAAGTGATGCCCATTTTATAAGAACCTATAGTCCTGGGATTATTGCTGAGGCTCTCTGATGTTTAACATTAACACTGTAGCTCTTCTCTTTTCTTCAGAGGACATTCACATGCTGAAAGAAGAAGAGTTGCAGACATTCTAGTCCCCCCTAATCGATCATAAGCTTCTTGAGGGAGTTGAGATAAGCTGGGATGAGGGAGCTGACCGACTCGTCGTCGTCATTGTTGAGGATCTTCTCCCCTCTGCCCTCTGAGCCTGCAGAGCTGGGTGACCTGACCAGGCTGGGGTATGGAGTGCTGTAACCCTGGCAGAGCAAACAGAAAATATTCAGGACAGAGCAAACACGCACACTCACAACTAAGCTAATCTGGAGCTGCACTTAATGTAAGAATCACTGGCTAGAATTTAAACAACAAATATTACAAAAGCATTTATCCTGCTTGATCGTTTTCTCATTATATTGTAAACCATAAACTTCAATGTTTTTTGTTAAATGTTTCTAATTTTCCTCTAAAGGATAATAGCTCAGGATAAGTCTGACTTGATGCCATTTTTCCAATTTAGTAGCAGAATCTCGGTTACAAATAAATCTGGACTTTAAATGGGCCAACAGGAGGATGCTCTGATCCAAATCACCCCAATGCAGCTCTGATTGTTTCTGGCTGTTTGCCTTCCAGACAGCAAATCTTCATCGAAGACTCAAGTCTTTTTCTGTCTCTATGTATTTTTCTTTCAGACTGTCCTGTATTTAACTCCACTTTCTTCTAACGACATGCTCTGTCTGTTTTAGATATGACTCCCCACAGCATTATGCTCCCAACACCATGCTTTACTGTGGAAATGGGGTGATAAAAATGTTTATCTGTCTGCACAGAGTGAACAGTTCACTATGAGAAGCTAAAAGCTTTATAACCTAGTTTAATCTTCAGAGTTCACTACATACCCGTCTGCTGTGTTCCCTGATGTACAAAGAATTGAGGCCTTGACAGCACTGCTGTTTTTTTTTTTTTTACAGTATCAGCCATTTAAAATGCCCCTTCCCAGTCGAACACCAGCCGAATGGCAGCCCACTTCCCTGAAGATCCCAGCCAAATCCCATCCAGCTTCCATCCACTGGCCTTATCCTGGGCATGCAAACCCTTTCACTGAATTACAGGGTCTGACCAGGAGATGATGCTTCTCTTTAGATCTTAATATCCAAAAATCATGACGGAAAAAATATTTTAGTGCAAAGATTGATGTTTAAAAAGGAATTGTAGGGTAGCAGCCAAGGGCCAATCAAGGAAAGTAGGGAAATTTTGAATGGCTACTACTGTATTCTAAGAATATGCAAATTAGGTGGCTTCTGAATATAGTTGTTTACAATGGATTTGACTTTTCCGATGTTAGACTGCAGGGGGCTGCATGCAATTGCATGCCACACTATTCAGATCTACATTTTTAACAGTTTTAGCAAAATGTGTGATTTTGTTTTTACACTCCTGCTTTTTGTCGGTCCGTCACATAAAATTCCAACAAAAAATGAAATTAATGTTGTTGTAATGTAACAGAATGTGAAATGGTTTAAAGCACAGGAGCACTTTAATGACTGTAGATGAGACTTTAGACAGGGAACATACAGAGGAGTATCCTTTGCCAAAGCTGCCCCTGTTCTTGGTCCTGATCTTGGTCAGGGCCGACTCTGCGATATCAGCCCGCTCCTCAGCATCATCCAGCTCATGAACAGTCTTCCTGTACTTCGCCAGGTTCATGTTCGCCTGTTCCTCCTGAAAAGACATCACATTGTAAGCAAGAGAAACAGAGAGTCACCCACAGGGGCAGGGAGGACCATGTGACATACAGCCTCTTCCATTTGTCTTTTGTACGCCTTCATCTTGTTCTGCAGCCTCTCCACCAGCTCCTGCATCCTCTGCTGGTTCTTCTGGTCCTCCTCAGACTGAAACAGCAGCTCCTTCAGACGTCGCTCGTTCTTCCGCAGCGTCTTCACCGTCTCAGCGTGCCGCTTCTGCTCGGAGTCTAACTCCAACTCCAGCTCCTTCACCTGAACAGAGGCAGAAACGGACACTGAGAGGAGCTTCATATGGGATCAGAATAAAGGTGCATATTTAGTTAAATCAGAAAATGATCTAACATGAAGATCAAGCTATTGTTGATGCAGCAGCCATCTTTCAGTTGGTTCAGGTTGTTTTCAGTCTAAATGTTGTGGGCTATAATCTTTAATATTTTGGATTATTGCCATTAAATGTCATAAGAAATGCCATAAGACATGCCATCACAAACTTTACAGATATTTCTCTTAGCTACATCGGATGCTAGCGTAATAATAATATTAATCATCAATATTATTATCATTATTAAACATAGTAGGCTACTCCTGATGTAGTAGCACAATAAACTACATTTCACTGATTTGTATTTAGGAGACAGTGTGATCACAATAAATTTGAATTCTATTGTGTTCTAATAACCTCTGAAATTAAAAGTAGAGCAATTAGAGGTCATTTTTGAATTGTTTTCTTCTTGTGTGACTGTTTCAAAGCTTCACTGCTTCCTACTAGATCAAACCTAAAGGCTATTTCAATTTTTTAGGTTTAGGTAAAATATTTAGAATTCTGGGTTTATAATGTTACGGCTGCAGGGGGTCTCTGCTTTTTCTTTCAGGGTCCTGGAGGCAGGCCTTCTGCAGGTGTTATGATTTTTCCCCAGATTGGTGCTCTGCTGCTTAAAAGCTGTCATGCTGCAGCAGTCAGGAGGCTTTTTTTCCTCCTCTCCCTCTTCAGAATCCAGTTGGTTTGGTTTGTACCTTATGACTGAGTTTTGTTAGGTTTGTTTTGTGTTTGTTTATTTCTAATTGGTTATGGTTTGGTATTAATCTGTTTTGGCTTCTTATTTCAGGCAATTCTTTTTTCAGTTTTTACTTAATATAATTTAATAAATTTCCTTTTTCATTAACTCTAAAATCCTTGTGTGGTCTCCATTAATGTTACCCCACCTAACAAGCCAGGTGGACGTAACATTGTGGGGGCTTGTCCGATTCATGTGGACTAATTATGCTTAATTGGCCTCATTGATTGTATTCAGGTTGCAGTTACATGCCCCTGATTTTGGTTTTCCTGTGTTGCAGGTTGTTTGTGGGTTTTTGGGCTACTTTAAGGTCTTTGGAACTTTACTAGATTTTGGACATTTTTGGTGTTCTATATGTCTGTTGTTGGTGGTCCATGAGGATTTTTGCTCTTTTGTTAGAGGGGGGGGGAGTGAGAAGCCTCTTTGTTTTGTGTCAGGTAAGTGCTATCTGGTGTTTGTTGTTTTGGCAACTCCATTTTAGTCGACCCTGTTTATTATTTTAGTTATTTTTGGGCTGGATTCTGGGCTGAGGGCACCGCCGTGGTTTGCTGCCTGAGAGGTTTTGGCCTGGAGGGATTTGCTGCCAGCGGTATCTTGGTGCTTAAAGTGCCTTAGCTCTTGGAGGAAAGCCTGAAGACTAGGCTAAGATTAGTCAGGGCTTTGATCGCTTAGTTAGTGGTAGGATAATGGAGTTTTGCCATATGTTTGTACCAGTTATGCACTTCCTGATTGTTGGTTCAAAAGGAAAACAAAAAATTGGTGTTTTCTGATTAGGTTGGTTTGTTGGATTATTTTTTTTGTTGAAAATGGATACTGTGGGTTCTTTTTTGGCTTCCCCAACTTTAGAACTGTTGGAAAAGCTTACTAAGGAGCAGATGCATCAAGTAGCTGAACACTTTGAAATTGACCTTGGAGTTGCAAAAGGATTTAAAAAACCCCAATTAAGGAGTTTCTTAAAAGACAAACTTGTACAACTAAATGTCTTTGCCCTTTCTTTTTCAGATGCTGATGTGTCAGATGTAACTTCCCGAAGCATAGATTCTTTAACTGGTGCTTCAAAGTTGGATGATGACTCGCCAGGTCCAACGGTATCTCAAGAGTCTCAATTAAAGTTTCAATCTATGAGAACTGAGATGGAAATGCGGTTTGAGGTGGAAAAATTGCGGCTATCACATGAGCTTGAGGAGAGAAAACTAGCTTTAGAAGAAAAGAGGCTAGCGCATGAACAACAAGAAAAGAGGCTAGCGCATGAACAACAAGAAAAGAGGCTAGCGCATGAACAACAAGAAAAGAGGCTAGCGCATGAACAACAAGAAAAGAGGCTAGCGCATGAACACGAAGAAAAGAGGCTAGCGTATGCACATGAATTGGAGATTAAGAAATTATCGTTGGAAGCTGAGCGCTTGAAGTTGATGTCTGAGGGCAGGTTAAGTGGTGGATCTTTCAATCTGTCTCAAGGTGGTGATAGGTTTCCTGGACATAACTTGGTTAACATGTTGAAGCTGGTACCCAATTTTAATGAACAAGATCCTGATGTGTTTTTTTCTTTGAGGACATGGCAGAGGACAATGAGTGGGGTGATCGTGATTGTTCCATTCTGCAAAGTGTGCTGGTGGGTAAGGCCCAAGAAGCCTATGTTTCATTAACATCAGCTGAAAGAAAGGTATACAAATCTGTTAAAGAAGCTGTTTTGAAGGCTTATGAACTGGTTCCTGAACATTACAGGCAACAATTTAGGAACTGCAGGAAGGCTGAAAATCAGACAAATACAGATCTGGTCAGACAACTAAACGCCCAGTTTTATCGTTGGTTATCAGCTGAAGGTGTGAAGGACTTTAAATCCCTTTGTGATTTGATGGTGTTGGAACAGTTCAAGACCATTATTCCAGCTCGGGTTGCCACATATGTTAACGAGCAAAAGGTAAAAACTGCTGCTAAAGCTACTGTCTTGGCAGATGAGTATGTTCTGACCCATAGAACTGTGAGGGATTACAATTGGGAAGGCAGCTATAGCTTTCAGGAATCTCATCATGATTGGTTCTCTGATAAGACTGGAGTGGAATCTAAAGCAGACTCTGTTTGTAACTATTGTCGCCAGAAAGGACACTGGAAAAATGAGTGTCCTCTGAATACCAAAATGAAATCGGCTAGGAGTAAACGAGATGATCAAAAACCTGTTGCTTTAGCCAGCATTTCACAGTTGCATTCAGTGGAGTCTACACATCCAGCAAAAGTTGAAAGTGTAAGACCAACTGTTTTAGCTGTACCTGTTGACTATAAGTTTTTTTCAGAACTGACTGTTACAGATCCCCAGATTTGTGAGAAGGATGTCGGACAGGACTATGCACCTTTCATCACAAATGGGTTTGATTCTTTGAGTGGCAGTTCAAATAAAGTGGCTGTGAAGATTCTACGTGATACCGGAGCATCTGAATCTTTCATATTGGAATCTGTTTTGCCATTTTCTCCTTTATCTGATACTGTTTGTAGTGTCTTAATTAGAGGTATTGGGTTGGAAACTTTCTGTGCCTCTTCATTAGATCTACTTGCAGTCAGAACTTGTACAAGGAGAGGTAACTATAGCTCTTCGTCCTTCGTTGCCTGTGGAAGGTGTATCTCTCATTCTAGGAAACAATCTGGCAGGTGGACGTGTGTGGCGAGATGTTGCACCCCCTCCAGTGGTCCGAGCTTGTCCATCCGTTTCTTTGTCAGACGTATGTGTTCGAGACTTTCCTGAGGCTTTTCCAGCTTGTGCAGTAACTGTGGCTGATAAGGAGGTTGAGTTTGGTAAGCCTGGTTCTGTTCTTGAGAAGACTGCCTGTTTGCCAACTTTTCCTGTTCCTTTGTCACTCAGTGAATTGATTGCAGCCCAGCAGGAGGACACAACCTTAGCTGCTCTGTTTGACCAAGTCCAGGCAGCTGAACAGGACACAAAAGTGTCAAGTGGATATATTCTACAAAAAGATCTGTTGGTACGTAAATGGTTACCTTATAGTGACGGGGAAATTGTTGGTCCAGTTTATCAAGTTGTTGTTCCAGTCAAGTTCAGAAACCTTGTTTTGAAAACTGCTCATGGAGGATTGTCTGGACATTTAGGGGTCAATAAAACTTATAATCGAGTTTTACAACATTTTCTTTGGCCACGTCTGGAAAAAGATGTTGCTTATTTTGAGAAAACTTGTCACACTTGCCAGTTAACTGGGAAACCTAATCAGACCTTGAAACCAGCTTCACTTTTTCTCATACCGGCTGCTGGTAAACCTTTTGAACACTTGATCGTGGATTGTGTTTGCCCACTGATTCCTTCAAAGTCAGGATCTGTGTATTTGCTAACAGTTATGTGTAGAAGCACTTGTTATCCTGCAGCCTATGCTCTGAACTTGGCTGGCAAACTAGCCTCTGAGAATCTTAAAAAGACTCAGAAAAATTAAACCATGGTTTGACCAAAAAGCTGAGATGGTTACAGAGGTCCCTGTTGGGGTCCTCTGTTTTAAGGGGGGAGGTGTTACGGCTGCAGGGGGTCTCTGCTTTTTCTTTCAGGGTCCTGGAGGCAGGCCTTCTGCAGGTGTTATGATTTTTCCCCTGATTGGTGCTCTGCTGCTTAAAAGCTGTCATGCTGCAGCAGTCAGGAGGCTTTTTTCCTCCTCTCCCTCTTCAGAATCCAGTTGGTTTGGTTTGTACCTTATGACTGAGTTTTGTTAGGTTTGTTTTGTGTTTGTTTATTTCTAATTGGTTATGGTTTGGTATTAATCTGTTTTGGCTTCTTATTTCAGGCAATTCTTTTTTCAGTTTTTACTTAATATAATTTAATAAATTTCCTTTTTCATTAACTCTAAAATCCTTGTGTGGTCTCCATTAATGTTACCCCACCTAACAAGCCAGGTGGACGTAACAATAATATTTAGAATAGATATGCTAGAATTAGATATTTCACCATATCCCTACATACTATTTTGTTTGCGCTTAATAAGATTCTATCCACTGCATAGTACACGAGGAAAATTTTAAATTGCATACTTTGGCCTTCCGCGGCGGAGGGAGACATGGCTGTTGTTGGGCTCGCTGTCTGAATGACGGCGCGCACTGATACGAACAGAGAGAAAATAGGACCAATTGATAACGACGTGTGACTTTTTCCACTACAATGTTTTTGGGATGCGAAAATATCACTCTTTTGGACACATAATGTTTTGGGAAGAGAAGTTTTATTTCGCTGTTCCTAAAAACCTGCAGGACTACTTTCGGCTTGACCAAAACTGGACGATAACTCTGCTCACAGGACGCTGCCAGGGGTAAGTCAGTGTGATTGCATGCCGCTTGTGATCGGGATGCCATACAGATTCATGTCAAAAATACCGAACTATCCCTTTAAATTGACTTTAGTTGACAAGCTGTTTTGTGACATATTTTTCAATTATCTTGGAGGCCATTGATAAAATACGTATATATATGTATAGTTGTGGATAAAAGTGCAACAGTGTGCAAGCACTGTGCAACACGTTTTGTTTATGCTAACAGCAACATGACCAACATGTAACCCCGAAATCCCACATACTCCGTCAGCGCTCCGCTCAGCCCCGCTAAGCTCCAGACCGCCTGCACAAAGCAAAGCCTACTGTACAGCCCCCACTGTGGCTCCCATCCGCTCCGCTCTGAGTTCCTTGGAGATCATAGAGGGCATGCGCCAGATGATTAAATTCAAAGCAGCAAAACATGCGGAAATGATCCAGGGTTTCCGCGGATCATTAAAAATAATTACAATTAATTAATTTTTTGGGATTTTTTCATTAATTTCATTAATTTTTATGGGATTTCGGGGTAACAGTCAACATGTATCGAACCGAAAACTGTGACCACGAAACCGTGAACCAAACCGAACCGTGGATTTTGTTAACCGTTCCACCCCTAATATATGCCTACAACTGCATTGTAGTACAATGCTGTAGGCGGTGTAATCACCAATCTTTTATTTAGTGAATCATCTATCATACATATGATTGGGGCTATAAGTTGTGTCGTATATGTTTAAATGAACCTTGTATTCATCCCATGCATGCTTTGGCTCCAGAAACCTTTAGACTACTAATGATCTTCTTTAGGTGAGTGAAGGACACAGGATAAACATTAAAACAGGTGCATCAGCGATAGAAGTCCCCACAGACGACGGTGTGTCTTTTTTGATGCAATCTGTGTCGGACATTTCAAAGATTGCAAAAAGTATAAGTTAAAGACTGACAGTATTTCCTGTATTTGGTTGATTTGATTTTCTTAATAACTTTTCCTGCACCAAAGTTTCCTGATAGTTTATTTTTATGTGTCCAGACTTTCTTTGTTACATTTTGCATTTTTTTTATGGCATTTATGAAAAAGTTTGCTAAAGTTTCTGAGTGAATATTTGTTTGTCATGATATTTCATTAGGTCCCAGATTCATTCCTTTAAGCAGATGTCTGTTCTGAGGGTTCAATTTTATTCTTTGAAAAAGACTCACTATTTCTTGAATTATGCTTGAGTGGTTTGTAAATTATTTATTTCAGACTCTGGGATTCTGAACTGTTCAAATGGTTTATTAATAGGTTGAGAAAGAATCAGATTATGATCTGATAAACCTGTAACCATAATCAAATACTAAATCCATCCATGTTTCAGTAGATTTACTTCTCTCACCTGAGAAAAGTTATGGCTACTTGTGATTTGTTTTAGTCTTTTACTATTTGATTTATTGAGCCAGTTAATATTAAAATCACCACAAAGTTGAACTTCCTTCTCCCAATTGCAGCCTGTAAGAATGACCTGTAACTCTTCATAGAGACAATTACAGGAGGGTGGGTGCCTGTATAATACAACCAATATGACTGACATTAGTGGAGAAAGATTTATATTTAGCCCAGTACCTTCTAAACTATTAGGTGACGACCCTTTTAACCGGTAACATTCACATGCTTAGTGTAAATCATTACTCCTCTACAATCCTTTCTAACAACGTTATGTCCCGGTAAGCTGGTAAATGGATCACATTTCGGCAAAATGGTTCTAATGTTTATATATAATATAACAGTGTGATTTAATGTTTGAAAAAACTTGCATTTAGAGTACTTCAAAAATGATCTCTTTCCCATAAACTTAGATCTTTAAGCAATGGCAGGTTGAAGGCCAAAACTTGAATCTGGTTTCCAGGTCATGTTAATATAATTTCAAACTTGCTTTATGCTGGACAGAACTTATAGCTCTGTCTTTAAGCTTGCATTTATAGAATGCCTATATTGTTATTGCCCCATTTGTGGCTCCACTAAGGGGGCCTTCCCTGCAGATCCACAGTCCCTTACATCCAGCAAACCTCAGGGCTCTTCCAAGGTGCCTCTAAACCAGTGGTCTCCAACCCTGGTCCTCAAGATCTACTGTCCTACAGATTTTAGATGCATCCCTGCTTCAACACAGCTGAATCAAATTACTGATTACCTTTTCAAGCCATTCATTTGATTCAGCTGTGTTGAAGCAGGGATGCATCTAAAATCTGTAGGACAGTAGATCTTGAGGACCAGGGTTGGAGACCACTGCTCTAAACGATTGTTCCCAATATGGCTGCTTGTACTGATCTACTCCAGGCCCACTGTGGATGTTACTGCTGCTGAGGGATCCAGTTCCCCAAGTGCTGCTGCAGCTGATGCCTCTGAGGATTCAACAACCAAGGGCTAAACATTGATCTGAATGCATGCCCCCACTATAGGTGGGCCACATGCCCTGATCATGGTATTGAATCCTGGATACAGTCCCATCTCCACTGCTCCTGGATTAGTGACAGTTGATGCCGTGGTTGCTGTTCTGACCCCCTTTGCCGCCGACCATACCGGAGGGCTCCATACCCCCAGCATTGATTCAGTAAACCAGGTTGTCAGTTGATTTCAGGATGAAGTAGCTGTTTGGTATGGCTGGCTAGATGACGTTGGCCAGGTAACCTTAGTAGAACGCTAAGCAACTCTGCGTCTCCTGACACCAATATCATTCAATATGTGTGAAAATTTCTTAATGAAGTTCATATGGTTTACAGATGCTTTTCTTGAGGTGTTCAATGTGGACCTCGGGCCCCTGGGCTCTCATCCAGGTTCATCTATGGTGTGACCGCTCGCTGGCGGAGTACATGGACTCACTGATGCTGCCCTGTGGGACCTCCACACTATGGCTTCTGGGATCGGGCCCCTCAGTGACTAAGGGGTTTGGCTCCTCAGAGGCTGGGCCCCCAGGTGCTCTCCTCTCTGGTGGGTGCGGCTGTCCCTATATCTGCCCTCCTTGTGTCCCTGTGATCTGGGAAACTTTGGCTATCTTGTGTTTCGTGTCGCCTCTTTTTCTATCCAGGGCCCTGTAAGGTGAGTCTGTGGCCACCCACACCTGCTATTAAGTATATTTTCCTTCTGAAGAAGTTTTGCAAATCCTTCATACACAAGTTTGCTCATGCATAATTACCGCGGGAGTTTGGTTCCAGGTGTTTACAAATACATACTTATAGTAAATATTAAACCCTTATTAATACTGTGTTATCCCCATAAGTTTTGCTTTCCACAGACATACTGATCGGACATCTAAGGGACATCTTCTCACCTCCCTTTCTGTCTCTGTTGCATACAGTTTTAATCCCTAAATCCTTTAAAATAAAGTTTCATAAACAAATAAGAAGCCGAACCTTATGGCAACAACCATAATTGTCTGCTTGTAAAAGCAAATCTGTTTGGATGTTATCTATCCCTGGGATTCCCAAACCTGTATTGGCAAAATCGGACACATGCACTTATTTTCTAAACTCCTGTCCAGATCAGATTATTAGTATTATGGGATAAATTATTTTGAAAACAAACCTTCCCCTCCAGCTTCTGGATGATCTTCTTGCCTCCTTTCAGAGCCATCTGTTCAGCCTCGTCCAGCCTGGTGCTCATATCTTTAATCTGGCCTTCCAGTCCTTTCTTCACTCTCTCCAGGTGAAGTGCGTGCTCCTGCTCCAGACGCAGCTCCTCTCCGACCCGCGCTAGCTGATTGAGCAAAATGTTTCCTTCAAACGTGACCGAAGTGTCTAAAAGGTGTGCAGTAGTATCACACGTGCTGAGCTTTACCTCACAGTTGGCCTTCTTGACCTTGTCTGTGCAGCCTCTCAGCTCTGTCTGCAGCTCATCATGCTCCTGCTGCAGAGTCTGGAGATCCACTTCCAGTTTTCTCCTCCCATTTAGAGCTGACTGAAACTGAACTCAGAAAAAAATTGATTCAAGATTTCTGATTTCAAGTTTCCAATCAGTGGTAAGGGAACAAAGACTCAGTGCATTACCTGGCTGCTGAGATCCCCGTACTTTTCATTGGCTTCTTGCAGCTCGGTCTCCAGGACTTTCCGGGCCCTCTCTGCGCTCTCAAGGGCTGTGCGAGTCTCCTGGCCTTCGCTGGTCAAGAGAGCACAGCGGCGTTCCAAGGCCGCCTGCTCCTCTCTCTGCTCTTCGTGGCTCCGCACCTCCTCTTCCAACTGACCCTGCAGCTCCTGTAGAAGAACACAACTGGTCAGTCACAACAGACTGACAGTGAGTGTCCTGCAGTAGTATACATACTCCTTCCGTTTTAACCTCAGAAGAAAAAAAAACAGGAATTTAGGCCCAACGTCTCACATCTCGTCACCTCCTGTCATCTCAGCGCTGTTTGCTTTGTCTCTGCATGGATTTAGACAACCTGCTGACAGGAGCTCTTTTATTTACTTCTTACCGCTCTCCCTGTGTAGGCCAAGACTTTGGTTGGAGATAGGCCTGTTTTTCAGTGTAGTCCTGTTTCTCTGACTGTGACTGGCTGGATGTGCTCTCCTCGTCCTCTGGCATGGGAGCTGGCTCGGAGCTCGTCTGCCTGGCTGTGTGTTTCCTGGACAGCACCGCCTTTTACAGCTGCTTTTTGTATCTCTGCTTCTGCCTACTTAAACCCCAGTCGGCATCGGCAGATGGCCGCTCACACTGAGCCTGGTTCTGCTTGAGGTTTCTTCCTGTTAAAAGGGAGTATTTCCTCTCCATTGTCGCTACAAGCATGCTTAGTGTGAGGGATTGCATTTGAGTCAATGAGTCGTTGCAATCAGCTGGTTTTCCTTAGATAGAAAACTGAATCAGTTCGACTGAATGATCTGGTGAACTGTGAAGTGTCTTGAAATGACATGTGTTGTGAATTGGCACCATAAATATAAACTGAATTGAATTGGTTCTCTAGTAGTCCCTTCTTTGCTGCCCTTCCCCAGAGCAACCATGCATCTCTGGCTGCTTTTCTGATTAACACTCTTCTTACCTGAGTTAGTTTTGTACATATTTGTTTAAAGGAAATGTTGAAACCACAAATCACTTCACCACATGTGTAAGTCTGTCACATTATATCCAAGTAAAGATTGCTGATTGTTATGATCAATTAGTTCATAACTTGCTATCAATAGTGGACAGCATGCAGTAAGCGGACCTTGATCTGCTGCTGCATCTTCTTGCTGTTCTTGTTGAGCTCTGTGTTGTTCTTGGTTAGCAGGTCAACCTGCACCTCCAGCTCGTTAATGTCGGCCTCCAGTTTCTTCCTTAGCTTCAGCGCCTCTGCTCTGCCTTTCAGCTCCACATCCAGGCTGGCCTGCAGCGACTCTAACGCCCTCTGGTGGCTTTTTCTAGGAAGAGGGGAGGGCAAATGAAAGCAATACTAAGAGACTCCTTTTAAGAGCATAACCGACAGACAGTTTAGCAGGTTTAGAGAGTATGAACAGCGCTGGTCTTACCTCTAGATTATGCACAGTGAAGTTACGGACCAGCAGTAAAAATGTTAACATATAATTAGAATAATAAGGGAATCCTTGTGTGGAAAGATTTGAAATCCTTAATTGTGTCCTGTATTGCTAACCATACTGTTTATTTCTTTATTTATTTATTTCTTATAAGTTTTTTTTTATTTGGGCAATAAAGAAAGTAGGAGAAACTGACCTCACAGCTTCAGCCTCCTCCTCTTTCTCTTGCAGTCGGCGCTCCAGGTCTCCTTTAGCCTGAGACAACTCCAGCTGAAGCCTCAGCACCTTTGTCTCCTCAGCCTGGAAGAAATAGTTGATACTTTAAGGAATGCTTCAAACAGCTAAAAACAGTCATGTCTGGGGAAATGCATACCTCCAAAGCTGCCTCAGACTCCTCTAATGATGCCTGGAGCTCCTCTTTCTCCATCTCAATCTTCTTCTTGGCTTTCTGGAGCTCATGGACGCTCTTACCTCCATCAGACAGCTGGTCTGTCAGGTCAGCTATCTCCTCTGTGAGAAGAACAAAAACCCAAACGTTGTAAATTAGCTTAAAGTCAAAGGAACTGATGCTATGGTGTTTTGTTTCCTTTTCATCGGGTAAAATATGTCAGTGGGAAAGTTCTGGGACTCCTGTGGTGAGATTCTTTCAAGGTTTTGAAGTGATTCGTATTCTACCTGTAACAGGTAACTGAGGCCCCGTCCACACGAAGCCGAACCCTGACCTAAACGCACAAGTTTTCCACCAAACCAGCCTCTCATCCATACGAAGCCGGCGTTTTGGGGGTCTGTAAACAATCTTTTTTTTTATTCAGCCTTCAGAGTGGGAAGATTTTGAAACGCCGTTTTCCCGTTTCCATCTTTAAGCTCTAACCGCATTTTTTTTTTACACGCATGCGTCATAGCGTCTCCTCTAAACACGCATGCGCGACACAGTATCACAACAACAATGGCGCCGTAACGGTTGCTGCTCATGCTACTCACCCTGCTGTCGGGCTTACAACAGAATCTTCTTCTTCTGGAATATCTCCAGGAAGAACAGAGCAATATCGACGACATAGTTCAGCACCTGAATTTGACTGAACCACGAAAATGGACCCGCAGGGCAACCATGTATAAATATTAGTGCGCATGCCCAACATTTCGTCGCCTATTTTTGCTTTGGCACGACGGCGCCACTTACAGGCCTTGCATACATTTTGCAGCGTTTTCATGCATTCGTGTGGACGATCACATTTATTTTACGTCTCCGTCTTTACGACAAACGTTCTGGAAAATATTAGCGTTTCGTGTTCGTTTTGACTTCGTGTGGACGGGGCCTGAAACGCCGTTTTCGCGTTTCCATCTTTAAGCTCTAACCGCATTTTTTTTTTTTTTACACGCATGCGTCATAGCGTCGCCTCTAAACACGCATGCGCGACACAGTATCACAACAACAATGGCACCGTACTGTGTTGAATGGTTGCTGCTCATGCTACTCACCCTGCTGTCGGGCTTACAACAGAATCTTCTTCCTCTGGAATATCTCCAGGAAGAACAGAGCAATATCGACGACATAGTTCAGCACCTGAATTTGACTGAACCCCGAAAATGGACCCGCAGGGCAACCATGTATAAATATTAGTGCGCATGCCCAACATTTCGTCGCTTATTTTTGCTTTGGCACCACAGCGCCACTTACAGGCCTGGCATACATTTTGCAGCGTTTTCATGCATTCGTGTGGACGATCACATTTATTTTACGTCTCCGTCTTTACGACAAACGTTTTGGAAAATATTAGCGTTTCGTGTTCGTTTTGACTTCGTGTGGACGGGACCTAACTGTATGTCTTCATTTTGAGGCTGAAGCCAACCACTACTCCAAGATGGGCCAAAAATACAGCATAAATATTAGTATAGTAAAAATATGAAACCAATGATCTCCTATAGACTGCTTTAGGTTCAGACAGTTACCTTGTAGCTAATTTATTTTTGATATTTTTCAGATAAGAGTCTTGAAACGGTTAAATTCTCTGCTCTGCTTTGACATGACAGCTTCCTCCTGGAACAGCTCATTTGCATTTAAAATGAATAAAGAGGACACTGCTTACAAACTATTAAAAGAAACTCCCAGAGAAAATTCTGAATTCTCCCTTTAAGAAAAGAGTATTTTATTTTAACCATCAATAGAAGCAATAAGAGCGGTCAGTCTTTTTTTTCCTTTGCTTTATAAAACACAATTAACTATTATTTAGTCTAAGTTTTGTCGGTGTAGAAATCAGCTCAGTTTAACATTAAAATCAGAAATTTTAATGTTAAAGAAAAGAAAACAAAACTGCAAAAACAAAAACTTTTTTTCAGTCATGTCAGCAAAATGAAACTTCCTGGAATGACATCTGTAGGAAAATGATCACCTTTATCACACTAGTAAAACAAGGTGGTGGCAGCATCATGGTGGGGGAAACAATGTTATTTAGCATGGATAGAGCATTGTGAGTCACAATGTGTTTAAACGTATCATCCTTTCATTAGCTGTTGGGTTGCAAGCTAACTTTGATTCAAACTGTAGTGGTAGCAGAGGTGGTTCTAGACAGGGGCCAACAGGGACCTGTGCCCCTGCAGCCTAGTCCTGGCCCCTTTTATGGCCCCTGTACTGAAAACACCCATAACAAAATTCATGCAATTAGCAGATGCAATTATTCAAAAAATAACTTTTTCAGATCTGTTTTTGCAGTGTAACTAAATAATCTTTTAACGATCATATGCAATGAAGAACATCTTCTAATGATGTGTACCTTGGACCAATTTAATATTTTGCCTGGACAATTTACTTTAACAATTATTTTTAACTTGCAAGCAGTTTTAGCTTCACCTGTAATGAGAAATAATCACAGTTTTTATCCATTAGTTCAAGTGTGCAACCTGGGCTTTGTAAGGTTTATTCTTTTATACATCATGTGCATTGTTACTTTGTTAGCCAGATTAGAGAGAGTAGAAGGCCGTCCTTCACATTGCGGATGTCACTGTGTGTAAGGAGGCCATCTAAATAGGACAGCCTTCTTGTCTTTTAAAGATACACAGGATATGGGCACATCTTGGAGCCGGACTGATAGAGGAGAGCTACAGGTGCACCTGTATACACCTGTATCTGTAATGCTTGGGCATGGATGGCGTGTCAGTTTCTGATACGGACAGCAAAGCATCCACCTGATCCAACACATAGACTCATGAGGTATAAGAAGGAGAAGATGACCTTGTTCGGGGCTCAATCTTTGCCGGACGCTCGCAGGCGTGATTTTTTGAGCCCACAGCTGTGCAAGCTCCAAGCATTTTCTCTGTCCTGTAACGACCTGATCTGGAATAAACTCTGTTACATTTTTACTCCTGTTTTTATGGTCCTTTTTAATATGGTTTTACTCAGTTTGAATTAAGAGTAGTAAATAACTTGCTTTAAAGAACCGGAAGGGAAGTCTTGAGGCGCAACTGCCTTCAAGGGGACATAACTTCCTCATTTAACAGCTTAATGGCTGGTTTATAATACGAAACACTCTCGTCCTAGTTGTTTTTTTTTTGTGTGTGTGTTTGCATTTGTGTTATTCTTTAGTTCTATATCCCCCCGCCCCCCCCCAAAAAAAAAAAAAAAAAACCACCAGTCCCATCATGCTTTCTTGATATATTTCATCTAGAACCACCACTGAGTGTTAGGATCTTCTACAGCTATAGAGTAAAACATCTGAGACCCATAAAACTATAATAAAAAATCTGACAATGAATTCTAATATTTTAAGAACATAGAGCATCTTTCTCACCCTGGAATGCTTTATTCTCCCTGCGCACAGCCTCCAGCTGCTCCAGACACTCTTCATGAGCCGTTTTAACCTTAAAGAGCTCTGCGGCGTGTTGCTTGCTCTCCTTCTGACAGCCCTCCACCTCGGCCACCACCTCCTCACACTTCTGCTTCCAGTCCCCGAGCTGCTTCTCCAGAACTCGCTGCTTCTTGTCCAGCGCCTGACCACAGCTGCTGGCCTGAGGCGAGTAACAAGATTTGACTGCACTGAAAAGGTCCGATGCATCAGGTAACAAGTTTTTCCTAATGGGGAGTTTTTTGTACCTTCTCCAGGTCCATGCAAAGCTCCTCCACTTCTCCCTGCAGCCTCTGCTTTGTTTTTTCTAGTGAGGAGCATTTTGCCTGGGTGGCCTCCATAGCCTCCTCTGCCTCCTGAAGCCTGGCTAGAAGCTTCTTCCTGTGATGAACTCAGATTATTGTGGGTGATAGATTACAGAATCCATGCAAAGCATTAAAGTGTGTCAGATAAGGTGAACTCATCCAGTATCAGCATCACACACTTGGTCTCTTCCAGCTCATCCGCATGCTGGATGGCGTCGGCCTCGTACTTAGTCCTCCAATGCGTCACTTCACTGTTGAGTTTGGAGACGAGGCGCTGCATCTCCTGCTTGCTCTCCTGCTCCTCCTCCAGCTGCTCCCTCAGCACCTCACACTCCTGCCGCGCTGAGCTCAGGCTGCTGCCCACCGCCTGCTTAGCCTGGCATCAGCAACAGATGCCGAAGTTATTAGACATTTGCTTCAATCCATTTTTGGTTCCATCTCTGAATGTACCTTCAGCTCCTCATCCAGCTGCTTCTTCAGCTCCTCCAGCTGCGTCTGGAGCAAATTCTTGGAGCGGGTCAGCTGGCTTACTTTGCTCTCTGCCTCCTCCATCTGTCGGCTCACATCGGCATTATCAGCTGATGGGAAACAATAAGGCCTATTTACAATGGTTAATTCAACAATAACTTAAAAGACCCAATTCCTAAAAAATATATTTCAGAGAATTCAGTCATCCAGGTCATTCCAAAAAAGCAAAAAACAAACCAATCCACTGGACTTTTGTTTCCAAGTTTGAAGACGTTTCGCTTCCCATCCAGGAAGCTTTTTCAAATCAAAATGTCCGAAATGGCGTTGAGTTCGAGACTTTATAGAGTGGACCAAAAACAAAGCCTTGTTTAGGCTTAGAAAACATGCTAATTGAACCGGACGAATGGGTCCGCCCCTTTGGAATGGGGGTCGTTTAGCTTCTTTGTTAGCCTGCAATAGCCGATACCTGTCTATGTCTCTGAAAGGGGGTCTTTAAAGGGAATTGTTTCCCTGGCTGAACAGACGAGGCGTTCTGTTCCCCTGTAGGGGGATAAGGGTTACGATGATAGCGGGATGGACTCGACTCAATTTATTAAATTTGAATCCACCCCCTTTTTTTTTTTTTCTTTCTTAACATAGATGGCTTCCTTCATGCCCCTCTCAAACCACCTATCTTCTTTGTCCAGATAGGTGGTCTGAACTCAGCACTATTTCTGACATTTCGATTGAAAAAGCTTCCTAGGTGGGAAGACAAATGTCTTCAAACTCGGAAACAAAGTCAAATGGATTTTTTAAAAACTCTTTTAGGAACACACCCCTTAAATTTTTTCTTTCTTTGCCCTTTCATTACAAGTTTCAGTTTGATATTTTGGGATTTTTTTGTGATTCACAAACAAAATCTAGTGTTGTTTATGATGATGAAAATGATGAAATGGGATGTGTTTTTTCACTGTAGAAATCTGAGAGGTCTGATGCGGGTTTGGATTCAATGTGTCGCCTTTAACTCATTTATAGGTGCCAGTCTCATGGGGCAGGTCTTTGCCAGTTTGAAACATTTAATAACTAATGTTTGATTCCAAACCTCAGATTGAATTTATATTTATCAGAACTTTGACTCGACCAGGGGTTTGCATAATGACTCAGACAGCCTCAGTGTACCTAGAAGTCTGGTCTTCGCCACATTGAGCTCAGACAGCGTCCTCTGCAGCTCGTCTCCTCTCCTATTGGCCTCAGAAAGCTGCTCCTCTAACTTCTTTACCTGGCTGTCTGATGACATCTGCATCACAAAACAGACACACTCATGTTTAATTAAAATAGCAGAGTAGTCTTGTTGCTTGCTCTGTTAACTTTCTGACCTTGGCTTTTTGCAGGCTGTCCACTGATGCAGACAGGTCATCCATCTCCATCCTCAGGTTCTGTTTCTCCTTCTCCAGTTTGACCCTGGTCCGCTGCAGAGCTTCACACTGCTCGCTCAGCTCTGACACCACCTCGCCGTGCCGCTTGCGCAGAGAAGCAGCGATCGATTCGGATTGAAGAGAGGACTCATCCAGCTCCCGCCTTAGACGATGGAGTTCGGCCTCCCGCTTCTTGTTCACCTCCATCTGTTTGTCACACAGATTGCAAATGTTTTGCCCCTTCTCCCCAAAAATGTACTTCATTTTTCATATTGTAGAGCAACCATGAGCCTCTGTGTATGCTCCCGGGATTTTTTTGTGATAGACAAACACAAAACAATGCTCAATTGTGAAGGAAATTATGCATAGTCTTGACAAAATAACTACTTTGACTTTAAATTAGATAACTGATATAGCTATTTTTGCTATATTTCTTTACCACCTTAGCATATCTCCAAACTGAATTCCTATTCTTTTCATCTTTGGTCGGTTTTCTACAGCAGGGTGAATCTCTTCCACATTCTTGGGTCTTTATCAGGTTTTCCATGATTTTTCCATGATTGTAGTGTGTTGGAGTTCCGCCCAGTTTCCATTGAAATCTCTTAGCTTTCCTGCCTGTGGAATCAAATGATGTCCTCAGTATGTCAATTCAGGACGACACACTGTGTTGGTTTGCATATCCCATAAGGATGCAGGCTAAATTTCTTTTTTGTCTGACCTTCTTCCACATGTTTGCATAACCTAAATTGCTTTTAGCAAACCACTACTGTACTTCATATGGCTTTTTTGAAATGAAAATCAGCGCTATCTACCAACATCCCATGCACAAAGAAGGAACTCGACTGTATGTTTATGTACGTGTATGTTCAACAAATTATCTATATAAAAAAGACCCAACAAAGGCAGGTTGTGATATTGCAATGTGATTGAAAACTCTGAATCAATTTGACTGGATGATCTGGTGAACTGTGAAGTGCCTTGAGATGACGTGTTGTGAATTGGAGCTATAGAAATAACTGAATTGAATTGATCTATCCCTGTTACAGAAATATGTACCTCATGCCTTACCTAAGAAACCATTTCTTGACCTATTGTATATGATTTGGTCAAAATGGACCAATTTCTAATGAGAAAATTGTTGCTAAACAAGCACTGAGCTCTGGTTAAAGTCACTAATAATATTGTCATGGCCTCAGATAATGGATTTGTATCTGTACTTTTCCTGTTAGATATCAGTGCTGCATTTGATACAGTCAATCATAATATTCTCTTAGAAAGACTTGAATATTATTGTAGATTAAAGGAACAGCACTAGACTGGTTTGAATCTTATTTATTGGACAGATTTCAGTTTTTTCATTTTAATGATAAATCTAACCTCAAGCTCCGGGTTAAAAACAGGAGTGGAGTACCACAGGGATCAGTGCTAGGGACATTTGTTTTTACTATATATATGCTCCCAATCGGTAGAATTATTATACAACATGGGATACATTTCCATTGTTATGCTGATGATATTCTGCTATACCTGTCTATAAATCCAGATAAGGCTAACTCCTTACATAGATTACAGGCATGTCTTGAAGACAGAAAAACCTGGATGACTCTTAACTTTCTCCTTCTGAATGCAGACAAAACAGAAGTTATAGTCTTTGGACCACAGTCTTTGAAAAAGAAGCTGTTTAGTCAGTCATTTCATCTGGATGGGATTAAACTGATCTCAGAAAATAAAGTACAAAATCTTGGTGCTATTTCTGATCATGGACTATTATTTAAGTGAATGTCCTTTCATCTGAGGAATATTGCAAAAATTAGAAATATCTTTTCCAGTGAAGGTGCTAAGAAACTAAGCCATGCATTTGTTACTTCAAGGCTGGACTATTGTAATTCTTAACTGTCAGGAAGTCTACACACTGTAATTAAAAGCCTTCTAATGATCCAAAATGCTGCTGCCAGAGTTCTGATGAAAATTAAAAAGAGAGATCATATCTCTCTCCTGGCTTCTCTTCATTGGCTTCCTGTTAAATACAGAATATAATTTAAAATCCTCCTTCTCACATATAAAGCCTTAAATGGCCAAGCTCCATCTGATATCAGAGATATGATTGTTCCTTATTTTCCTAACAGAGCACCTTTTTGTCAATCTTCAGGTTTACTAGTGGTTCCTAGAATCTCTAAAAGTAGAATAGGAGGCAGATCTTTTAGTTATCAGGCTCCTCTCCTGTGGAACCAACTACCAGTTTTAGTCTGTGAGGCAGACACCCTGTCTACTTTTAAGGCTAGGCTTAAAACTTTCCTTTTTGATAAAGCTTGCAGTTAAAAACAGTGTGATATTTGCTTAGTTGCTGGGTGAGTAGAGAGGTAGGTGGAGGATCCGGTGGGAGAGAATTTCAGCCTAGACAAAATGCAGGCAAAGGTCGTCACTGCAGCTCATCTAGGAGAAGGATGTCTTGCAAGTCAATGATTGCAACTGATTTTCCTAACCATTCTGAAAGTATTGTCTCTGTAAAGTTTCTTAAGATGACGTGTGCTCCAATTTGCCGCTAAATTAACAAAATTGGTTTCTTCCCTGCTCATTCAGGTCCCCACTGTTGTAAGCTCCTGTTTTGGTCCGATGCCACTCACACCTATGGGCAGCCATGTTTTTTTTTTTTTTTTTGGTTTTGTTAAATGTACAAAAGGTCTTGGTCTACACACATATGTCTCATAAAATGATGCATGATGTCACAGTTTCAGCTAGTTTTCCTGGAGCTTGCACATGCAGCTTCATGTGCTGTCAAAGCAGGTCTGTAACATTTCTTTTCACTCATTAGTCCACTTCCTAACAGTTAATCTTGCTTTACCCAGTCTAGGTGGATGTTCCTGTCTTAGTCTGGACTTGTCATCTTCCAAATAAACAATACTCTGTGAGAAAATACAAACATACCTTTTTCTAATATAAATCTGCTTAAAATGTTACCACAACTGACTCGTCTTTGGTCATCATGTTGCATCTTATGCTCTCCAATAAACCTTCAAAAAAAGTTGAATCATATTTTAATAGAAACTAACCTGTTTTCTTATCAAACACATCTGAATGGAGGAAAACAGATTGTTTTTGTTCTATCAGAGTAAACAGGGTGAGCTTGTAATATGTTCGTTATGATGTTTTTTTTCTCTCAACTCCATACACAGCTTTAAAAGCTTCAAGTTTTTAATAGTAATGAAATTTTTTTGAAAAGGTTAAAGAGGTATGAAGCAAAACAATCATCGTGACTATCCTGTGAGGTGCAAGAACATTTTTTGAGAAGGTCCTACTCAGTATGGGCCTGTCTGCGGCATACCTGTGAAGCTGTGACCCCTCCCGCCTCCTCAAGCCGGTCAGTGAGTTCATCGAGTTCTCTGGTGAGATCTGCTCTCTGCTTCTCCACCTGTAAAACACATTCCAGCTAACTCTTCAGGATTATAATTATAGAGTATAATTATATAAATACAAATGAATGAGTAGAGGTTCTACTTTGAATCAGAGCAACTGCAAAACCAACTCATCAGTTTTGGACCCTGAATCAGTCCCTCTTTACTGAAAAGGATCTCTAACCTGTAGGGGACCAACATGATCGACAGCTCTCAGAAGGAAGTTCTATTTCCTGAGGTCAAAGGTCAGTAGAGTGGAATCCAATCAGAGCGATGCAGGGGGTTCGCTGCTGACAGGCAGCACAAATATGCTCCTCAAGCTGATGATGTTAACTGATCCTTTATGTTTTTTATTACTGAAATTCTTCTTTAACAATATTCCACTAGAAACCATGGATCTTTTTGTCGGCTCCTTTATATGTCAGCAGAGTCCCCAGGCAAACAACACCTTGCATGAGATAACATTGATGTATTAGACTGTTAAATTGTGCTTCCCAATCAAATATTATCCATAATGGATAAAAAGAGCATATTATTTATATTTTAAATGCTATTGCTTATTTGCTATTTTTTGCTAAAGTTCCAGACACTAAACATTTCCAGCTTTAGATAAAAAAAACTTTATCAAACACAATCACAAAAAATTTTAATTTATCACCATGGTGACAATGCAGTGGGTATAAACATCACATGAGAGATTGTTACCTTGTTAGTTAAATGTTAACATCCAATCATGATGAGCAAACACAAAACAGGCTTATATTGAATGGCAACTGGACTTTCTTTCACTTTTTGAAGACATTTCAACACTTATTCAGGAGTCTTTGTCAAATCTGCTGGCTTGTAGCAGACTCTAGGAGTCCAAAAAAAAAAAAACTTCTAGAAAGGTGTTGACATGTCTTTGAAAACTGAGCAAAAGTCTGGTTGCCTTCCAATTTAACCCTGTTTTGTGGTTGCCCTGACCCTGATGACTAAGAATTTACACAGGTATGCTGCAGCAGCATAATTGGATGTAATTATGGGTATATAAAAAAAAAAAAACTAAGCCTTGTGTGTCTGAGGTGGAATAATTATTGTAAACATAAAAATACTGGAGCAGATGACTTGATAATGAGCCAATGCTTATCAACCTGATTGATTGTGGTGATGATGATTTCACCAGGTAGTGCATCATAATGACTAAACCAAGTGTCTTAATTTCATAACTGTTGAAAATTTAGCTTAACAACTCTTGATCCCAAAATAACTCAAATAACCGAAAGACTTCTGGATTTTTGAGAACAACACAGAGACCTTATAGTGAGGACCCTAGTAGGTGTGTTTGTTTGTCAGTTTTTGTGTTAAACAGGTCCTCTTCCTTTATTTTCCCAGCTTTCAGTTTTTTAAGGGATTCTAGTTTCTCATTTGTCTTTTACTAAAATATAGCAAAAAACATTTTGCACCAATATGTCCATAAAGAATGAGATCCAATTCCCCTCATTCTTGTGCTTACTTTCATCCCTAACCCACAGTTAGCTTCTTTTCTTATATTTTTGGGGAGAAAACATACGTATCATAGTGTTAGTTTACAGTCATATTCAATATATAAGACTATTGAATAGGCTATATGAAATAGCTAGTTTATTTATATAGCAGCTATCTCTATAGTTATGCTGCTATAGGCTTAGACTTCTGGAGGACATGGGGACCCATATTTCATCATTCCGCTTCATTCTCTCTCTATTCCCCCACTCTGCAGAATCTGTTAGTTCAATCTCTAACGTTCTGCTCTCTCTGCTTTTTCTCATTGTAGCTTTGCCTCGTCTTTTCCTGTTTGGCTGACACCATCCTGGAGAGAAATATCAGCTTTGTTTATAGATGTTCGAGATCGGCCTATTTTTCCAGTGTAGTCCTGTTTCTCTCACTGTGACTGGCTGGATGTGCTCTCTTCATCCTCCGACATGGGAGCTGGCTCGGAGCTCGTCTGCCTGGCTGTGTGTTTCCTGGATGGGGCCGCCTTTTAAAGCTGCCTTTTTGTATCTCTGCTTCTGTCTCCTTGAACGCCAGTCGGCCTCGGCAGATGGCCGCTCACACTGAGCCTGGTTTTCCTGGATGTTCCTTCCTGTTAAAACTGAGTTTTTCCTCTCCACTATCGCCACAAGCAAGCTTAGTGTGAGGGATTGCCTTTCAAGTCAATGAGTCGATGTAATCAACTGGTTTTCCTTAGATAGAAAACTTTGAAACAATATGACTGTATGATCTGTTGAAATGTTAAGTGCCTTGAGATGACGTGTTGTGAATTGGTGCTATAGAAATAAACTGAATTGATTTGAATTCCCATTATTCAATTCTATTCAAATTCTTTATGTTAAGTATAACGATTTTCCGCTATACACAAATTAATTAATTATTTAATATTGTAATATTACATCAGACCAATACAAAAATATTGTAATATAGAAGAAAGGACCAATTAAATGCTTAATACCTACTTAAATGTTTTTAAAAGATAGTTTAAATCTGATGAACAAGGCTCATGCATATTCAGTTTAAGATCAGTTACGAATGTATTATATTATTCAAGACCCCATGTCTCACTTCGAGATTAATCAGTCTACACGGATAAGATAAAATTACTTTTAGTGCTTTGTTATTATTATATCTTGCAGGCATATAAACTTAAAAATGTTTTGCACTACACTTTTAAAATGTACAGTCTTTCCATATCTCTAATGTTATGTTAATATATAATGCTTTCTGCATTATACTACTGCTTTTTAACCCTATTGATGGAGTGCACATGTCATGTTAAAAGAGTTAATGCACTTTTATGAGCAGAACAAACAGCACTTGTTGTTTTTACAGCCTTCTTTTACAGCTGGTTTAAAGACAGCCGTACATGTTGAGATTAGTTCACAAAAAGCTGAAAGTCCCGAGCCCCCCAGGACCGCAGAAATGAGCCACAGCCATCGACACACCTCTGACAGAGCGAGGCAAAACAGATGACTCTCACTGGGGGCCTTTACTATAACCCCACTGCCCCCAGCTGAATATCCTTAAAAACGCACCAGCCCACCTGTGTCGAGGAGCCCCACCTACTCTTTGTTTAGGCCTAGTGCCAAACGATTGACTCATTCATTGCTCTCTCTCTCTCTCTCTCTCTCTCCTGCACTGAGTCCACATCCCCACAGCATCAACACCATCGGACATGCTCCCTTCATTAATCGGCTCCAAGGAACCCCCCCAGAGCCTTGCTGCCAGAGATGGGAGATTCCTCCCCTTTTGCAAAAGAGCATGAAGGAGTAGTTTATCTCTGTGCATACAAACCGAGGTGTGTTTGCACAAAAGCTTTGCTGTACTAATCCATCCTCCTGCCCCCAAAGCAACAAAAACTTTAAAGATATCTGTTGGTGTGTTCCTTTCGGCTTTACTAAAACAGCATAAGGTTCACAAAAGTAAAACAACTGATAAGACAAATCCCAGGCAGATCTAATGATATTACATTAATGTTAATATGTTAAAATAATCATTTTATTTTGATATAAACACAGGCTTCTTTTAAAAGATCCATTTGTATTTTTATATTAGTACTAGTTTTTGACAGATATACTGCCGCAGTTTCTAGAAACGTTTGGCAATCTAGTCATATTTGGGTAAAAAAAAACAAACAGCAACCAACAAATTCAATCAGGAAATGTTTATACCTAAGGGATAAAAATTATATTTAAGTAAGAATGAATAATCTTAACTTTCCCAAAATACTTTATCAGGATCTAAACCTTAGTTTTACTTTGAAATGCTATGGTTACTGGATCTGTTTTTCCCACCAAGTCAACAAATCATCAGATTATCAGAAGTTTCTGTAGCTGGATTAACTGTAGTAACTGTACATAGTTCATCTGATTTGCTATTAGCCTCCCAAAGTTTGCTCACTGCAGTACGACTTCTTGCTTGCCTTGCATGTTTAAAAGGTAAGGGAAGGGGTAAAAACCCTTGTGAAAGAATAATAAATTGTGAATGGATTTCTCTCTTTCAAGTTTTTGGAGAGTGTCTGTTATTTGATTTTTGTAGATTTTTATTGAAGCTTTGCAGGTGTTACTGTCCATTAGCAGAGGCAATATTTCAGACTTCCCAATTTCCACCATTTTTTATCTATATAGAGGAGATGGAGGGCAGAGCACTCAGCACATACAAGGGAACACAACCAACTCACTGGTTCAGATATGTGGAAGAAACAAACACAGGAATATGAGGCATTTACCAATCACATCAACTCAGTGGACAGAAATATCAACTTCAGTAGTGCGGAAGCTAAGAGAAACATGGATCTCAAGAAACAAATTACATTTACATTAATTGTATCGTGAATCAGAAGAACAATCACAGTGCATGCACAACAAAAGACTCCAACAATCAAAAACAACAAGTGTGTTTATTTGATCTGCATCTGACCTGGAAAGCGCTGAGGAGGTTATTCCTCAATGCTGCTTAAATAAATAAGCGCTACAACTACAGGTCACTCTGGTGCAAGCAAACAATATTAGCAAAGACTCCTGGATCTGTGTTGAAAAGTCTTTAAAAGAATTAGCGAAAGTCTGGTTGCCTTCCAATTCAAGCCTGTTTGTGGTTGTCAAGACCCAGATGACTGAGAATTTACCCAGGCATCAAAATATCAAATATGATTAAGTTATTACCTGATTGCATTCTCTTAAAAACAATAATCTTAACTAGTGTTGCACCAATACCAGTATTCGGTGGGGCCCCGATCCAGCACGGAAATTATGGTATCGGTATCGGCGAGTACAAACAAATAGGGCACTGACACCATTCTGAGAGCCAAAAGTTTATTCAACTATTGTCACCCATTCCAGGTAGGCAATAAAAAAGTTCTACTGGATTCACTTTGTTTTAGTCTTTTTCCTGCTTCACAAAGGTAGGCAGCAGCTTGAAAAAGCCATGATGGCAATTATTTTACATCCAAGTAGTATGCAGTTCTTCATACAGACATCAATTTCAAACAGATTGTATCGGTATCAGCCAATGTTGCACAGCCAGGTATCAGGGCGCAAAACACTAATTAATCCCTAATTAAGTTATTACCTGATTGCATTCTCTTAAAAAAAATTATCTTAAGAAACCTACAGTAGATGTTTTGCATTGTATGAATGAGACCAGCAGTAAAAGAATGTTAAAATGCAATTATATGTTTGTAAGAGACATAAATGTTAGAGTGTGCATGTTTCTCATGATAGGAAAACCCATTCACTGCACAAACACTTATAACTTATGTGTGTATGAGACTAGCCGGCATTCTAGCTGGGAGAAGATCCACTGGAGAAAGCTGCAGCGCTGCGGTCCAGGATCTCCTGATGCTATCAGGCTGAGTGTGACCTGAGGAGCAGGACCTAACAATGGCGAGCCTGTCTGCAGCCGAGGTATGTTGTAATTGAGCTGCTCTGTAGACGGAGGCTGCGGAACAGATAAAGACCTGCATGCCCCCGCCTGCCTTCCGCTCCGCTCTGCAGCTTTCCGAGGCTGGAGGGCTCCCATCTAGCACCATTGAGAGTATACCACCCAGAGTTAGTAGAAGTGTGGAAAACACACCCTCAGGTCTGCTGTCACTCCATTCAAGCACTGCAGTGAAATATGTGCCTTTACCTACTGTATGAGGGCTTAAACACACAAAGGATTCAAGAATGTATTGTCTGAACTAACAGGCACTTGAAGCCCCTCGGTAGGTTAGGCTTAGATGAAGAAGACTTACACAAAGAGGACGTGTTGGACACTTAGTTGTGGTGAAGTAGATGGTCATGGTTTTGTTTATTTGGCTGAAGGAGCAATGTTTGGGGATTCCATGGTAGAACATCATCTTGGGTGTGCAGGTGGAACAGTGGTTAGCTAGCACAACCCATGTATGGAGGCCTTAGTCCTCGACGTGACCGACCTGGGTTCGAATCTGACTTGTGGTTCTTTGCCACATGTGTCTCCCGCTCTCATACCCCCTTTCCTGTCAGTCTACTGTGGCAAAAACGAGCCACTAATGCCATAAAAAAAAAAAAAAAAACATGGTCTCTCTTGTTTGATAGGGAAATCATTCTGAGAAAATGGCCCGTATGAGCTCCCTCTGCCATTTTAATCAAAAACACAAGGTTTGTACCAAACTGGATTGTTATCACAGGTGCAGATAATTTGGTGACCAGACCCAAGGAGCAGCACATGAACCTGTTGGCAACACGGTTTTCACTTCTCCTCTTTCTAACAGTTTCTCTCTGATCCCCAAGCTGATGTCAACCTCATTAGCCTGACTGTTAGAGCAGAGGTCAACAGAACCCAGAGCTGTTTGCTTCTCCAGTATGTCAGATTTATTGCCCTTTTCATTTTTTTTGTAGCATTTAGAGCAGAAAAACGAAGCACAGAAGCAGATAGTTTTATCTTTTTCGATACCTTAGCTCTCATTGCTCGTTCTGCTTCCAGCTCCTCCTCCAGCTCCTCGATCCGAGCCTAAAGAGACACATAGAGATCTAACATTAGCTGAACATGAAACAAAAACCTCTTCCTGACCTGTAAAGTATGACACAAATATTATAACACGGTTTCACTCAGACGGCATCATTATAACAATAGAAATAATGTTTTCTATTTCAGACCAGCACTTCCATGTCTCATGCACATTGCTTTCTGCAGAGCTTTGGCACACCCCTGGATTTTTTTCCTCAGGTAGCAATTTGGAGAAAGAATGTCCAGCAGCCACCAGTGATTATCCTCAGTGTAAAGCTGTGTTTGGTCACTGAGACCAAAGAAAAACATGGATGCTTTTTGGGTCTGACATTTGAAGAATTTGGCTCACAATTTTGTGTTACATTTTTCAACGCTAAAAATAACACCAAACAGCTAGACAAATGTATTTATAGGGCAAATATGATAATAGTAAACATAAGTTATCAACTCCTAAAATATATTTAGAATAATTTCTTAGAACCAAATTGTCCCATTCTAATCCAGCTGTTTAGGACTATTTAGGAACTATTTAGGCTTAGGAACAAGATCAAGAGATTTTTAATCCCCAGGCTTTGGTTTGATTTACAGCTCTTGTAATTTTATTAAGACAACAACATCAGCAGAAAAAAATGCTATAAATGCATAAAAGTGACATTTTTATTATTTTTTCAAATATAAAAGCATAAGATCTTGTTATTTAATGTAAGATGATATTTTCTCATAGATCTGAGTTAATACATTATGTTTTTAATGGGGAAATTGTGACGATCCCCTTCTGTCCAGTAGGTGTATCTAGTCCTCTACATGTTTGTTCTTGTTTTTTTTCAGGAAGCAGGTAGATGGACTGTTAATTGCACACACCGGTGAATGATAAAAGGGGACGACTAGTCAGTCACTCGCTCTGCTTGTTTGCCCTCCGGACCAGGCCGGAACGAGCAGCATTGGTCCACACTTCTCTCCGACTGGCTGGCCTGATCTCACGGAGCATTTTTTTTGTAATCAATAAATCGTTGTTGCTATGGATCCGCTCGTCTGTCTCCCTTTTTGTCCTCGCCCTTGAGATGGGCGTGACAAATGGGGGCTTGTCAGTTTGAACCCGGATTGGAGATCAGCTTTCAGGTAGTGTGTTGAGTTGTGAACTCTGTTTTGTTGGGGGACGTTGACGAGCGTGCTGGGTTTGGTGAGTGAGGCAGCCGTTGTACATCTATTCTGAGAGAGTGTGTTTGTGTAGCAGTGATCGCTCCTTCATAGCAGGTCGCGGTGGTTCTGTCCCTGTCAGGCTTAACAACGATTTCCCTTATGGAGTTTGTTGTGGGGGGATTTTAGTGTGGTGTGAACGTGGGAAGAGCAGTTGTCTCGGGAGCACATCCGGAGTTGCAGGGAGTCGCCATTTATTGGTTGCTTTTTCGGACTCTCGGGCGTTAGTGCATAAATACCCATCACAAGTAACACCCGAAGACTAGCGGGGGAGATTAGTTAGATTCTGGTTAGGCAGTTAGAGGGACGGGGTCGCTGTGACGTTGTGGTTGTTTTGGGAGCGTGGGAGCTCAGAGTGCTACTGGTTGGAATTCAGGTGTTGTGTGGATAACTGTAGATGTTATGGCTGCTGTTGAGGATTTTTTGCGGGATCCGTCTGAGGAGGGGTTGGAGCGCTGCACACGCGAACAGTTACTAAAGATAGCTGAACATTTTACGTTGGAGGTCAGTGACAAGCGGTCTAAGGAGAGTATAAAAGCCGCCATTAAAGCTAATTTAACTGACTCCGGTGTGTTAGGACAAGCTAAGTTGCAAGCTGGCGCGACGTGGTTGGACACTGACGTTTTTGATACTAGATTGACTTTTGAACAAAAGCGGGAGCTGCTTTTACTGCAGGCTGGGATAGAACAGAAAAGATTGGATGTGAAAAGGCTGGAGTTGGAAGAACGCAGACTGAGCTCAACTAGTGCGGGCAACGTCCCCCTTGATGCTTCCGGTAGGGGGGCGTCTAGCTCGTTTGATGTTGGGAATAATCTGCGTTTAGTTCCTCAGTTTTCTGAATGGGATCCGGATACCTTCTTTTCCCTGTTTGAGCGTGTTGCTGATAGTCGAGGTTGGTCTGATTTGGACCGGACACTGCTTTTACAGTGTGTGTTCACAGGCAAAGCACAAGAAGCATACTCTGCCCTCACAGGGGAGGAAAGTAAAGTTTATGCCACTGTGAAGAAGGCTGTTTTAACAGCTTATGAGTTGGTACCAGAGGCTTACCGACAGAGGTTTCGGACATGGGAGAAGGCTGGGAAACAAACCCATGTTGAGTTTGCCAGGGAGCTGGGAATCCATTTCAATAGGTGGTGTGCTTCCTTACAAATTAGCACTTTTGTTGACCTCTGTAATTTGGTTGTCCTGGAACAGTTTAAAAACTCTGTTCCGAGTCACCTTGCGGTATATATCAGTGAACATAACGTGAAGACAGCTGCTGAAGCTGCTAAGCTGGCAGATGAATATGTTCTTATACACAGGGGTGGCCGTGAGTATCAACCTTGCAGTGATTTTGGTTACAGGAGTGGCAATCAATCTTTTGTGGGAAGTCATGCAAAGGAGGAAGGCATTGGTTCTGATGTGAACAGTAGGTCAGAACGGATTTCCAGTGGGCATGTGTATGTGGATCTATCTGATGTGTGTCATTATTGCAAAGCCAGAGGCCATTGGAAGCGGGAATGCCCAAAAAGAGGTGCTCAGGTGAAATCGGTTGCTTTTGCTGCCTCTGAAACGCATGGTTTTGTTTCCTCTAAACAGGTGGACACAGGACGGAAGTATACTTTGGATCAGGAGGATTTTTCACCTTTTCTTTCTGACGGCCATGTGTCCATGGTGGGGAGTGATGCTACGGTACCGGTAAAAATTTTGAGGGATACTGGAGCTTTTAATTCATATATTGTGAGCTCTTTATTACCCTTTTCTGAGGAAACCAACACTGGAGACCATGTATTGATGCGGGGAATGGGACTTATGGTGGAACCAGTTCCGCTGCATAAGTTGACTTTGACGTGTGGATTGGTTCAGGGGGAGGTTATCATGGGGGTGCGCCCTGCACTTCCGCTGGAGGGAGTGGATGTAATCTTGGGCAATGATCTGGCTGGTGGCCGGGTGTGGGCTGATTGTCCACTACCTGCTGTTGTGCAAAAATAATGTCCTGCAGATAATGAATAGATGGTTAACTAGAACTGGAGTTATAGTTAATTATTATCCTATTCAGCATCAAAGGCAAAATCAATTTAGTGTTCTTAGGTGGATAACTATAGCCCTGAGTTATCTACTTACCGGTTGTTGATCCACAACTGGAGGGTTCCGGGACCGGCTGTTAAAATCCAGGTATCCACCAGTCTAGTGGCCCCAGTTAAGTTATCAGCAAAGCTATTAAATTATCAATAAAGAACCTTCTATCTCTGTTTATTCGCACTATTACCAAAAGGGATTGAGTTTGCTCTGAGTGATTAACCCTCCGTTATATGAACGACCAAAACCACTACAGATTAACCAATGATGTCTTTATTCTAATAATTCAGGATTACAGAAATCTAACATCTATGCAAACACTACACACTACTAGAAAAATAAACACGAGGTAGATTAAATGACTAGTTCAAAAGAAAAATAAAAGAGAAATCAAAAATAAAGACTTAAACGAGATAGAAACAACAAAATAACTATTACTGGCATCTGAAATTGTCCAAAATATGCCAGATATTAATACATTCATTAATGTCCGCTAGCAGCAGGTATAGTGCAATTGATCAGTGTAAACTAATACATCCAACTTAAAATCAGCAAATGATTAAATGCATTAACAAGCAGCAGATGTAATGATAACAGTGCAATCGATCATGAACATTAATACATCCAGCTTAGTATTGGTAAATTATTGAACATGTATTAACAATAGCAGCGTTCAATGTAGTGATGTGTGAAAATGGTTGTGGCTAAATGGGGACCACCCCCCTTTGTTCTCCACGCGGTGAGGGGAACAAAGAGAAATGGGGGGGGGGCGACCTGTGATCAAGATGGCGGCGACCACGGGACCCCACGTGGCTGAATGTGATAACTTTATCTCTATCTCAAAGCAGAAACAACGGAGGGGACAGGAAAGCCAAGAAAGAAAGAAAAAGCACACACTTATTTTAACCAAATAAACAAACCCTTAATCAGCACAGATAAAAAAAAGAACATCAGCATTAATTAAAAAAAAAAAACCTAAACTGCCTTTCTCTCGCCTGAGCACAGCAATTCTGATGCATCAAAAGAAAGTAAATTGATTTTACTGTGAGATGCGTCGTCCGAGGGAGGTTGGCGTTTCCACGGCAACCGCAGCTTGGTTTCTGTCGGGCAGCGCTTCTCTGCCACCGGTCCGCCCCTCGGGAAAGTTCAGTCAGCTCGGGCCGCAGCAGAGGGGTTGATCTGCTCACGAGTTGGAAGGGAGGTGATCTTAGGAGGTGATCTTAGGAGGTGATCGGCAAAGAGCGTCCTCTTAGCCGATTGGTCCAAGGAAGGGGAGAACGAAACTCCGTGGTCAGCTTCAAAGGCTTTCTATCTCCCAGTCAGCGCTGTTGCTATGCACGATGGAACACTGCGATCCGTGACTTTCGATGCAGGAAAACGAAAGCTACTTCCAGTCAGCTTTCTTCTGATATTTCACGTGAAATGGGCCTCTCCTGACGGGCTGCAAACCCATGGAAAAAGAGAAAGAGAAAATGTCTGCTTCTGGCTTTTAAACCATGTGTGACACGGGAGCACTTCCTGTGAAAGTATCGGCTGATTGGTCTGTGCCATGTGTGACATGGGGGAACTTCCTGTTGGAGTATTCGGCTGATTGGTCCATTTGAGGTGGCCGCCTCCCACAGTGGGCCAGGTCTTCTTTGTTCTTGTTTTGGAGGGAATCCTTTGTTCTCCCTTGTGGAGAAGAGAAGGGGGATGGGTTCCAGGTGGCTAACAAGGGGGATGGTTCAGATGGCACACCCCACTGATTT